AGGAAGCTGTAAGTTACTACCCGTTTGTACCATTGGCGTGCCGTCGTGCCGGCGCATTGTTCTTGTACATGTTTCAGTCTGTATCATTTGTAGCTTGCCTCCTCGCTGTGTTACGTATATCTATCCTCTGGTGCAGTTGCAACGAAGCGGATCTCGAGAGCCTGACTGTGTCTGGGTGTCGGTTGTGGCCCCTACTAAAGCCCGCAATGCGAACTGCGTCCGCGAATGCAAGTGGGCTGAACACCGGCGGACCGAACATGAGAACGAAGCAGACGACGTTAACGTTCAATATTCAAATATTCAATATCGATTCCCAACTTGATGAGATGTGGACTCGGGGATCCAATATATCACGACTATTAGGCTTTGTACCCTTTAGGAGCATATGTGGTACGATGACGTGACGGATATCGATCGATTCTGCGCGCCAGAAATGGACGCACCGGCATGACGGCGCCCCGGACAGCTGAGTGGCCGGAAGGACACTTGCATCCGGCGTCGATGTGGCAAGACGCTGGGCTCGTGCAGGGCTGGTAGTGGACGCATGTGTGTGCATGTGTGTTGTGCTTCGTGATTCATTGATTGTCGATAGTCGGTGTAGAACACGTATGCCGTGTCCGAGTCCGAGTCCGGGAAAATGAGCACCAAGAGTCGGGTTGCTGAGCACACAAGGTATCCTCGCATCTGCACCGGGTCGTTCAAGGTGATGCCGAGTCTCCGCCGCGACAGAAGACACCCGGAAGGCAGGGAGCGTTCCCAAGCGGGGAACAGCGCCGCCCCCATAGTACCACTGTGGGCGAGACCGGGGAATACAAATCGCGGATAACGCCGGCGTTCTTGGGGAAAGATCAGTACCACAGAATCATGCGTGCCTTCAAGGGGTAGGTGTGGAAGACAAGAGTGTGAAGGAAAGCAGCGAATAGGACTCGGACATTGACCGGGTATCTGTCATCTCGTGAGGCGATGTCAGCGTCGCTGGACATGACTGCTCAGCAGAAACCCATTCACCTAATCGCTTCGACGCCCCACAGGGCCATATCCCGGACAGGCATGTTGGTGGGTTGTACAGTCGATGCAATGGAGATGTAGTTGTCAGCGGGCGTTACGAGATTCGGAGCTCAATGGCCCTAGACAGCACCCGTACTATCCGAGCTAGTGTTTTTGCAGATAGTCGCTAATTGACTCTTTATTTGACATTGACATTATGAGATGTCTCAAGCTGGACCCAAGCGACGGCATAGCGCACTACGCAGCGTGTCAGACTGGATCAGCCACCATGCAAGCACCACGCACCTCTACACGAACTGCGGAACGCTGTCCACGCACTGTTTCGGGTTGCTCAGCGTCTCCATCAGCTTGTCCCAGAAGACCGTCGTATTCAGGCCGGTGACATAGTTCACCTTCCGTGCGTGACTTGGCGCGAAGTCGGAGCCCCAGAGGTAGGTACCGCCGTAGAAAGGGCTATCGTACGCCGTCGACACGTCCATGTAGACTTCCTCGGAGGTGGTTACAACGTCAGGGTAGGCCATGATCATCGCTGTGTTCCAGGCTGAGCACATCGCATAACGGGGAAGGGTTTCAGCACCTACCAGCGGTCTCGTCCCACAGAGGGAAGCCCGTGTAGTACACCTCCAGGAGGTCAGAGTATAGGTTCGGGGACTGCAGCGTCGTCTGCGTGATGTTTTCCGCGGTCAGGTACTGCGTATTCGCTATGTTACCCGCGATTGTGATGCTCGGCCAGTCCGCCGTAATGGCGATGTGTGCCGCCTCGGGGTCGACGATGAAGTTGATGTCGTTGCCGAGGTCCTGGCCGAGCGCGCTCTGGACCTGCATGAGGTTCAGGTCGACGTAGCCGCCCATGATGACGAGCTCCTTCGCGGTCACCGCGAAGGTGCCGTTCATCCGGATCGCCGCGGCGACGTTCGTGAGCGAACCTGCGGCGAAGATGGAGACCTGCCCTGGATACTTGAACACTTGCTCAATCATGAACTCGGGCGCGGATTGTGAGATGTAGGTCGTGTTCGGGTAGCCTGCCGCAGCGACGTATCAGGTAAATCGTGAAGGGGAGCGGTTGAATCGCGCAAGCTGACCTTCGATGAAGGCAGCCTTGGAGACGCGGTATGGGCTGCCACCGGTTGGGTCATTTCCTTCAGCCTCGAACGTGAGGTTCTCGGGGGAGAAAACGCCGTCCCAGTCAAGCGTTCCCCAGAGGGTCGTCCACATGTCGAAACGTTGTTCTGTCATCATGAAAGGCTATTGTGCGATTATTGACATCAGCGGTGGTTCGCGAACCAATACAAACGCCGCACTTACGTACGGCTGGCCGAGAGCGACGGGGATGCACGACAGGTTCCCGTGCTCAAGAGTTGCGAGCGCGTGCAGCGTGCATTGTAGTGCCCATGAGTCCGCGGTGTTGCCGGTCAGGCCGAGGACAGTCATGTTCGCGTTCAGCGCGACGAGGAACGGTATGAAGCCCGTGCTGCTCCAGTCGTTGTCCATGATCCTTCAGACAAATCAGTCGCTCAAGTAACTTACCAGACGAGCGCGAGGCATTACGTACGTGTATCGCACCTCGGATTCCCATGGTACATCTTGAGGAGGGTAATCCTCGATGACTTGTCGTCTCGCAAGTACTTGGTCTCTCCGGTTCGCTCGAGGTGAAGCCTCTCGCCGGCCCGCCAGAACCATAGAGCCGAAGGCCAATGCTCCGCACGCATACTTGAAGAAGCGCATCTTGACAAGAGCCGGTTCCGGAGCTCACGAGGTCCGCGAACGACTGTACACCGTGTAGACCAAGTTCCTGACTTCGTGGCGTTATATACGTCGCAGCTGTCGTAGTGAGAAGCACTATCATCCGAGATAACGGTGCGAGGAAGTGCGATTTTGGCGGACGGCTTCCGGATAAGGGCATTCGTGTCATGCATGCTGTCTGAATGGTCCCACGTTATCAGATCGTGTAGACATCGCTCCAAAGGGCTGCAGCGTTGAGGATAGTCCAACGCAGAATGAGGCTACGAACCAACCTCTTGAGCTGCTGCCATCTTGGTACTAGTACCATAGAGACTTCAAAGGCTGGAATGGAGCATGCTGTCACAGCTTAGCATGTAGCAATGAAATTCTACGCGTGCATAAGAAGCCCCAGTAAATTGATGTTGTGAGTAACTTACCAGTATTCGGGACAGGGCCATGACACATTCAGCGACTCATGCGAAGTTCAACTCGGCGGCGGTAAGGCTCTAAACCATCTCATTGAGCATGTACAGATACACCGAGCTGAAAAAAAACCTACTTATCCATCGTAAAAAATATCGGTATGGTTCATAGGTCAAGTTGGCTGAAGCAGTGTTGACTCTTCGGAAGCACAAGTCAATCCTTTTTTGGGGGAGGTTGAACCGGCGGCAACGATGGGTTCCGGATCAATGAGATCGGGATCTGTGGCTTCGAGGTCCGAGTTTCAGCTCCGGCGCTTGTGGGCAACCCTCACAGCCACCGTCGCTCGCCACTCCGCGTAACTCGCTTTCGGTCCACATCTGCATTGGCGAAGAATCGCTGTCGCATGGTTTCTCAACTGCACGCCCGATATATTCCTCGCAACGATGACTCGGTTCCCACCTACAACTCATTCATTCGACATTTGAACTGTTATGCACATGGATATCCCGACCCTCCGGACTTAACGAAGCCCAGTTCAAGTTAACGCGAGCTATAAAAGGATAGTCACCTGCGTCTCTGGTGCACAGTACGTTCACTTCCTCTCATATGATTCAACAAATTGCAGGGGATATGCAACGAATGTTAAATGACTTCTCTTACGCTGTGATTGCGTACATGCTCGATAGTGTCGGAAGGGGTCGCAACACCTTCTGGCCACCTGAACCTCGCAACACTGTACCTGACCCGTTGTTCCTTCTTTTGCACTATGTCGCCATTTTCAGTGGAGCATGATGTATTGCTAGCGCTCTGCGTGTTCACCTCCGACACCCTCGAACGTGGTCGTTGCTTTGCCCTGAGGTCCTAGAAGTACTAGTCATCGCGAACGCAAGGATACATCAAGTCGGACTTCAAACGCATCTTCTGTTGTTCGGACACCAGCATGTTATGCATGCGCAGACATTCGGGCTCGCCGGTCAACGAGAATGATGCGCGCAAAGGCACTCACAACCTCCGTGCGGGATCTCTGCGCATTTCTCCACCCGCTGTTACTCGAACCTGCGTTCATCATGTTTTTCTCAGATACGCGACTGGTGGCGCGGCGTCTCCCGACACGGGCGCATCGCTCATCAACCCTAGTCGAATGACTGCCGCTGTTGCGCGCGTCCCTATGCTATGACTGCGCAGAACACCCGGTTTGTCTTCTGTTGAAGCATCCGAGGGTTTACGTCTGCATCTGTTCCAGCACTTGACATCTCTCTGGCGCGTCGCTTATGTGTCATGTTAGTAAGTCGAAACATCAACCACGCATACTAACGTCAACCATAGACTTCAACTCTGGTTGTCTTCGGTGTACCGCGATACTGGATTCAGGTGCGTCATAACGGCCTCCCGGCTGCCGACAAAGCATAGCTGACCCCTACTGTATAGCGCGGAGCCAATAGTCCCTGACTGGCGTTCAGCTGTGTATGGAGATCAAACGGGGTACCCTGACTACCCGAACTTACGGCGCTGGGCAGTCGAATTCACTGCACCTGGTATCAGATGCTGGGACCTTGCTGACTTTCCGGAACCCCGCGGAGACGACACTTCAAATGGATTCACATCAGCTACGAACGAGGATAAAGGGTACGAACGGAGCGAAGTGACTTGGTGAGGTTTAGTGGCTGACTCACCGGACAGTCCTCCGAATGACTGCTCAGCAGTACTTCACACCGAGGTTCCGCGACAGGGTCAATAGCCCGCGGATAGAGCCCCTCAGACCAGATGGCTGGCCTCGGAATGGTGCGTCTCTATAGCGTTGCCGTGTCGTCGTCTATGAACGGATTAGGTAATATTTGTCCTCCTCACCTTCCCCCCCAGAATGCACATTTTGTACTGGTTGCGACATGTTCCCGGACCCCCAATTCTCGTTCACAGGCCGAGATGGTGGCCTTGTGTCGCTTCCTCAGAAGGCTGCGTGTGAAGACTCTTTTCTCGTTAGGTACTGAAGCCTCGGCTCAAGCTGCTCTTACGCCGGAACAGCAGTCGAACCCGCGGGTCCCATGAAAACCTGTGGCAGTCTGCTGATTCAACGTGAGTGGAGTAGTCTTCGAAAACGCCGTATGCTTTCTGATTCTGCCGCAGTGGACCCCATCGAGCTGGTCAAGCCGCGGAGACTTCGCAGTCGCGTCGCCTCTCGCAGTAAGTTTACAGAGCGGTCCATTTTACTGTCTTTCGGCACATTCAAGGCTTCAGCACCATTTCCCCTCTTGTCTGTGTATGGCGAAGAGAAGTACCATTCTTGGACTCCCGCTTTCCTTAAGCAGCTTTGTCCAGAATCAACGGCTTGGGAAAGCGGTGTACTGGCACAGCTTGTGTCCGTCCGGAACTTACGCTGTATATGAGAAGCTGACAGGCTTTCCACCTCTTTAGGTTGTTCATCCGCGGCTTCAAATTGTTTTCCACAGATCCTAGGCTTGTGCGGTGAGCTCTCACCACCAAGGTGATCGGAGTTGTCGGTCGGGCGTCAACCGAAGAAAAACTTGCATCCTGGGTCTGTGGTTCCCTATCCGACGACAGCAATTGGATATTGATCTGTGGCTTACGCTGATCAATGCAGTTTTCTGTGGTCCTAGACGATCGCCTTGGGACATCTACAATCCGTTACCGTTGTTGGTGGCTCCGGTGGTATGGGCGCTTAGTCACCGGCCACCGGATCAAAACTGCGACGATCCCAATCTATTATGTTCGCCGACTCATCTTTTGACTGGTATTTTCCAGGATATCCTGCTTGTTCTATACGACTTCCTGACTGCAGTCCGGTGTCATCGTTCGGCTTCTGTCAGAGTCAGGGCACCATCCCACGGTTAGGTCCTGCAGCGACGTCGGTATGTTCTCTTCAGGTTGGATCCCTTGCCTCGGTTCTTTCATAGTATATTACTTTTGGTGAGTAAGTATAATGCATGTATTCCATGAGCTGATGGATCCTGTGGCTCGTGCAGTGTTGTCAGGAGCTAGATTTTACGACACGTGCGCGGTCGTGCATGTGTGTGCTCCACTGCGAGGACATGAAACCAATAGCCATACTTCGAACCTGGCTATTCGGGCGGTACTGACCAGTGATAATTTGCCGAGGCAAGGGCCTGAAGAACTCGGGACGAGGTCGCGGATCTTCCCGACTCCAAGGCGCGCTATTGCGACTCGACTTCTGGATGTTCGGTCTGCCGCTCCGCTAGTTGTCTTATCTCCTCAATGTGATCATTGTGCTGGTCTCCTGTGGTACGGCACGGGGCATTTAGGCAGTCATGACGGCGCCCGGGATTCGCCGCAGCTGTAACAACATCTGGTCTCACATACGGAGGTGATATCGAGTGGGGAAAACATGTTCTGTCTCCCACATGTTGACGAGGGAAGGGTGCGATACTTCTACTCTGCGCGCTCTTTCTGCCCCTCTCGTCCTCACGGGCTCATCGGTCTTCATTGATAGCTAGTGGAACAGCTGTTTTGCTTGCAACGGAGACGACCTTGCTTTTGACCAAATGGGTTTAGCATCGAGTGAGTACTTCCCCTTCGAAAATCCAATACGCTGACCTTCCTTACATCAACGTGCCTGCTACGTGCACTCGGCGAAATAGGTGTCGAACAAGACGAATTGGCCGCCGGGCCTTCGTCAACAGCAACCGTGGGTGAGTGATAGAAGCCCAATATTGCGAACTCAATGCTACTGTTTTTGAGACGCAGTCCTGTGGGCTACGATCAGGGCGGCGTCTTCCGTACTCATCGTACGTACGCTGAGAATCCTAGATCTTGCCAGTCACTGGCAAGATTCAACACGGAGAGATCGCGTGGACCGTGTTGAATGTGGGAGGCTTCTTGCATCAGCAAATCCCCGGGTGGGTTAGTGCATTTTGATCTCGGTCGGGCGATCGGGGCTCATCATGAATCTGAGCTAGGGCCGACATCTTGGGAAATCATTACCCCTTGCGCTTGAGGGCCGTGACAAACCCGAGTCGACCGCCGGGATATACTGACAGGAAGGGCCTCCAGTCCGCGGACAGATGGTCGATTTCCCATCGGTATCAACCGCAAGCTGGTTCTGCTTCTTGATACGTCATGCCCTTCGCAAGATCCCGGCATAGGTCTTGTTGTCAACGCGAATGAATCCCGTCCAGCTGAGTATTGATCGAGTTGGACTTGTTGACAATCACCGATCTATCTGCATAGGCCGGTCGCAACGTCAGGGCGAATACACGGCCTCCGGGCTACGGGTTCGATTACTGAAGGGTCCCACTGTGTTCAACTACCATTTCAGCGTCTCATGGTATTGTGTATGCCGGACAATCGGCATAACATGACTTCCGCTCGAGTCCTATTATCTGAACGACGCGGAACTTGCGGTGACTATCCCATAGGCACAATGTTGCGAGCTTACGGAGATTTGGAACAAGGGGATGAGAGAGAGCGTGCGTTTACAGTGCGGTTAGAACATGGTTCAGTAACTCATCTCCGTTCTTTTGACTACAAGCTAGAACCGTGAACCAATTTCATCGTGGGGAGCCCGCGGATACCAGTCTGAGTCGTGCTCTTCTCCGCCGCAGGCCTCTTTCTCATGGACAGGGATCCGTGATGGAGACAGATGGCCCGCACGCGAAGGGCAGGTCCTTCTCAACGTAACCCACGGTCGTCGCTATAGCCGTATGACTCTCGAAATACGCATGGTGCTTTCACCAACCTTCCACAGTCATAGGAGAACATACCGCGGTAGTTTGACGTAAGTCTGATTGGTTGGCGACGTCGTCCGAAGAAACGGAAAGATTCGGCGAGTGTTTCAGGCCTTGAATATTGTGAAGAACTCCTGACGATATACGACAAAGCACAGGAACCCATGCGTCAAATACGCCTTCACCGGTTGTTTTCGTACGCTGTCCGGAAAGCTTAACCACCAATGAGAAGATCTGCGGGACGATGAACTTACTGAACACGACCCGCAAGTTGCGGTCATACGGATCTTGCGTTCCCTCCCTGATCCTGCAGCATATGGAGGTCCGTCCGCGAGCTTCCACTACATGATGGTGCAACTGACTCATCCCCAATGCGCCGTGGCCTTGCCGCTGTGTCTTTACTTATTGTGCGATCGTATAGACGGCAACAAGGCAATATCATTCACAGGTTTGGGCCCTGATATGGGTACAGGCTTACAGCCAGATAATTTGCCGTGCCGAGAGATCGTTGCCTCCATGAAGTGTGGTTGTTGTGCCATCACCGGAACTCGACGTCCAACAGGCTTTCTGAGTCCCGAGCTCATGTGCTGATATGCTTGCTCGGCGTGTGGAGGATTTCGGGCATTGCGGCCGGCAGCTTACCGATAACTGGGGCACATCCATCGAAGTTCGCTATGCAACGGACCGCGAAGACGCGACCAGTACTAGTCATCGAAGAGCGTTCAGGTCAGCAACGCGTTACGCCGTTCAGTGTCACTGTTTCAGTGGTACGCGTTGTGAGACAAAAGCGATGCTTTCTTTTTACCCCACACTCAGGCTTGCAACATGGATTTTGTTGTAGTCTACGGCTACAGACGGACCTCAATGGCTCTACTTCCTCGTATTGTTCATTGCGACGGATGAGCTACATCTCGGGCTACTACTATTACTTACCAGCCAATCACGGGTAGGATGGACGGTCAACCCGGTTCGCCGTGTGGTGGCCCGAGGCCATGACCGCGATCGGGGTGTTGTTGCCGACGATTGGCATCCCCTGATCGCGGTCCAGGCTCCGGCCAATATGTCGCCGCGGACCTCGCATCGTTTATGGTAACGACAATGAGGCGGTGGAGCGGTTGTTATGTCGAAGCACGAAACAAATATGAATTTGTCGAGGTTGACATCATGAGAAATAATCTCGCGGGATCGATGTGACCTCCTCCGCTGAGAGTCCGAGGAGCTTGGCACGCTTTGGGAGAGATCGCAGACCCTGAGGGAAGCAACAATCTAGATAGCGATCTGCTCATCCGTCGAAGCGGCGAGACGAGGCGGGTGCTCCGGCGAAGGGGCGCGTGTTACTTACCGCGCGACTCCCGAAAAATAATGATGCGCACCGGGATGACTGTACTTTTCGTTACCCCTATGCGGGAGAGCGTAAAAGTGAATTTTTCTCGAGCAGCAGGATGAGTTGACTCCTTACCACCGTCGTCTTGCGAATGTCTGTGCAGCTCTCAGGAGGCTGTTCTATGCACTCGTCGATGTACTTGACTTTGGTACTCAATGCCGTATAAATACGGTGCTTCTGAGCACCACTGTCTAGTACATAGTCGGTGGTGAGCGCGTTTCCCAAGTCTGGTGGTTCGTAGAAGGTGAGCAGTTGCCGCCGCTCATCTAATAGGTAGTGCTTCGAGTTGCGGACACTCGGAATCTGATTCTTGACAACATGGACAACAATCTCCGCCCATGTAGTACTACCTACAATCACAAGCGGTTTCTCCACGCTAGAAACCACTAGCGAGGCATGTTATATCGCCTTTATCATACATCGCAGTCCCTGATATCATAGGCCGCAAAGTAGTCCTTCTCATCCAGGCGTTCAGAACGACTCCAAGCTACCAGGCCAGAATGCACCTCCGCCTTTGTTCTTGTCATACCACGGTACGTCGTGCGACAGCATTACCCTCACCCTCGGCAGCTCCGCAAGGGCTCTGATTTGTGCGATCGTCTTCGTAGCCGTCGCCTTGTCCCTATGCGCGCAGCCAAAATGCGCGCTATCTGCAACGCCCGCCTCGCCGGTGAGGAGCCGCCAGTCGTGGGCAGCGTCTGCGGCGAGAAAGACCCACGCGCCGTCCGGCGACGTACGCGCCAGGAGGGAGAGGTGGCCGGGGATGTGTCCGGGCGCGTCGACGATGTAGAGGCTGCCGTCGCCGTAGTAATCGAGCGCCTTCGCGAACGGGCCGATCGACACCATCTCTGGATCGTCCGGGGAAACGTACCGCGTACGGCGTTCGGGGAAGAGGTCGCTGTGGAAGTGCGCGTTGGGGTCGGCGGGGTAGCCCGGCGTCAGGAGGGCGCGACTGCCCGCCCCGGCGATTATGGTCGCGCTCGTGAAGACGCGCGGGTCGCCTTGGTGGTCGAAGTGGACGTGGGAGACGCAGGCGTGCGTCACGTCCGCCGGCTCGAGGCCGCCCTTCTTCAGGGAGTCGACTACGTCCTGGGGGACCTCCACGGCGTACCACTTCTTGACCATTGCGACGAGCGATGGCGCCAAGGCCGTCTCCCAGTCCTTGCGGGTGCCCAGGTCAAAAACGAATGTGTCGGGCCGCGAGGAGTGCTTCAGGAGGAAGGCGAGGCAAGGAAAGCGGGACATCTCGTCCGCAGGTGCGGTATCGACAATTTGTGCCATCGGCACATCGACAAAGCCCGCCTCGAGCACAGAAACTGTGCAGTATGTCTGGTTCTCTCCTGGAGGCGGCAGACTCATGGCGGAATCGAACCACTGAGCTGGTTGTACTGTGTCGTTGTTCGTCAACGATCAGCGGTAGGAAGGCCCCACGTTGCGAGATGATAACCTTGCTGACCCCTGTGGCGGCGTACCATTCCCGAAGTAGACCGTGAGACTTCTCACAGGGTCACGGAGGAGCTCACATTCGCGCCAACACACGCTCGAAGATACGATGCAGTTGAAGGCATCCAGCCCAGTGTAGTGTACAAATCGGGGACCTTAAGCTAGACAAGTACTAGGCCACGGTCAGATTGGTGCAAAGATGTGACGGAATGAATTTGAAATTACTTTTACGGACAGAAGGCACTCGTTCTGTGCACTAAAGGCGACGGGGACATGTGCAGATCAAGAAGGGACATCTGTGTGCGAAATGTCTTCTAGAGCGAGGCGATTGCATATGCCGGCTTCGTCGACTGGGAGAACCGATGCGGCCTGGGACACGGGTCGATGGGCGTCTAAACAATTGTGTAACCCCAGATTGGGGTTTCTGGATTGGGCGGCGCGCCCGCTCGTTGCGGATCCGGACGGTGGCCGGCCCAGTGGACGCACCGATGCAGGGCTCGGAGATGCGCTCACTTGCACCCGCCGTTCGAGCTGGCCGCGCGGGGGGACAGCGGACGGGAAGGCTGAGGACGGCGTCGCGTGCCGTCAGCCCGTCTGCGAGCCGGCGCCGCGGACAGCCTTGCATCATCAGGTATTTAGCCCGCGGAGGTTCCTCCCTAATCGATGTCGTCCGCTCCCCCTCCTCCCTAGATACATAAGCATCAGGACACCGATTTCACCATCTTCTTACCTTCCGGATTTCTGTGACCTTCGACATGTCTGCTCCCGCCGTGCCAAAGACGATGAAGGCCCTCATTGTCAAACCGGTCAGTGCGGATTTATGCACCGTCCAGAATCACTCACACGACAGAATATGCTTCAGGGCCCAGCCGTTGCGGTTGAGGAGGTCGCCGTCCCGGTCGTTGGCGACGACGATATTCTCGTCAAGGTCCTCGCCACCGCACAAAATCCTACGGACTGGAAATGTACGTCCCGTCCCCCGCTTTTGCTGTATGATTTTGTTCTCCCATGAGATATCATCCCCGGATGATCGAGGGGAACCATCGAAGCCAACAGCGCTCATAGCATGGTCCTGGTGCTTCTCATTCGCTGCCCCATTAGCATCCGCCCAGAGTAACGCCACGATCTTCAGCGCTCAGCGCTCGAGCATGTTGTACATTTCCAATCTCGGTTGGAATCTTGCCCATGTGCCGTCATCTGCGGCCCCTGCCGTCTGACGACATACATCATTGGAGGAAGGCCCACAGCCTCCTCCAGAGCGTTTATTTTCCCTTTTCGTGGCTTTTCTCCGAGTGGGAATATCCCAGCCATTGTCGCGGCTGATGCATCGATCTGTCCATTCGAGCGAGGCGACCAGTAGCCTTGCGATGGCCAGTCGGATCGAAAGAGTGTCCGAAGCCTAGAGTCCTGCACAAGCTATGGAAGGTCCAGCACCGTGAATGTACACGCAGGCGCTCACCGGTGGCTTTCTAGCAGGACTTTATCAACGCGCTGGATTGTCCTGCACGTTTTGGGGCCATCCTTGGCTCTTCCAATGACACCATTGGCAACTCAGCTCCCCGTCGCACAGCCTCCATTTATTTTGTGGTCAATGATAGTGGCGCACACGCGACTCACCACTAGGTCGTATATGTTCGGGAGCTTCTAGCTTCTTCGAGGAGCTGAACGGCTTGTTTCGGGCCGAGGTTGCTTGGTACGTACGTCGCGACGCGCACGGGGTGGCGCACAACGAAGTTCTTCTGATACGCTCGGCGGAACGTCAAGGGTAGCGGAAGTGACTCTACTGTGCGCCTACTGCTTCCAAGACTGGTGTCAGTAAGAGAATGACGAGAATGTGGCTCTCAGCGCTGGAGTATGAGAACATCGATCCGCGTCTCAACCCAGTCTATGGTATGGCGCGCGGGTCCTCGGGTCCTCTGGGGCTCTATTTTGTCTCCATTCATGCTTGCGTTTAATAATCACTGGCTGACATGCTCTTATTGATAGTTGTGGACTATGTTCAGAACCATGGGACCATCCTGGGCTGCGACTGGTCCGGATATGTCGTGGATGCAGGGAAGAACGTCTCTTCGCCAGGGATTGGCGACCACGTAGCGGGGTTCGTTCAGGGCGGCACGTACACCGACTACGGCGCATATGCCGAGTACGTACGGACACCTGCGGAGTTAAGTTGGGTCGTGCCAGAGGGTACTGTGAGCCACGAGGAAGCGGCGGCGTTAGGTTGCGCGTACGTCACATTTCTTTGGCTATGCGGATGCCAGTCTGAGCTTACCTGCAGGTTCTGGACGGCTGTGCAGGCACTGCACAACCCGACTCGGCTCGGACTCGTCGAGCCACCGTCTAAGGTAGAGGGAGAGCAGTGGGTATTCGTCTACGGGGGCAGCAGTAAGCATCGTACCATTTATGTTTTCGCTCCTCGCTAACGTAGCTCCACTCCCAATCGTGCAGCTTCTGTCGGGCAATATGCTACCCAGTTAGCACACGCGGCAGGCTACAAGGTTGCCACGGTTGCGTCACCACACAACTTCGATCTCTGCAAGTCGCTCGGAGCCGATTTTGTGGCGGACTACCATGATACGGATGCCGTGCAGAAGATCAAGGACGCAACGGGCGATTCGATTGCCCTCGGGCTTGACACGATTAGTGTAGCGTCCTCTGAGGCATTCACGTCTAGAGTGATCCAGCCGTCCGGTGGCAAAGTCATCCTGGTCCTGGGCCCAGAAGAGGGTGGACAAGTTCGGGAAGACGTCGTCCTTCAACGTGAGTCCGCCTGCTTCTGCTCGCTATATGCGCGCGTTAATACGTAATCCGCATAGCAACACTCATTTACACGTCCCTGGGGCGGGCGTTCTCGATGCTGGGGCAGGACTTCCCTGTGAGCACGGAAGACCGTGCGCACATGGTTGCGTTCCTCAAGAAGATACCGGAGCTCGTACGCACGAAGAAGATCAGCCCGAATAAGACGAAGGTATGGGAAGGTGGCCTCCAGGCTGTGCCGGACGGCCTTCAATACATGCGGGAGGGGAAGGTCAGTGCGGAGAAGATCGTGTACAGGCTATGACCCACATATGAAGACATTGCTATCTGACAATCATGGGAAGTTCGGTTTCATTAACTGCGGTTGGCAGTCCCAACCAGATATACCTTGCTCTATGTACCCGTATAGAAAGGAAGTCGAATGGTGTACAATGTTAGGACCTCGACAGTCGGCTGAGGGTGTCTGATTGAACGCAACTGGGCGATGTATGCGCGTACGTTCTCTACTTGACAGTCCACGTGCATCACTCCGGAGACGGCTCGGCCGGCGGTGAGTTGTTTCCCACGCTCGATTTCTTAAGTCACTACTGAACAGACCCCTTTTAGGTGCATACTCTCAGTACTGCACGCATAGTCTCACAATAGTCTCATACCAAGATCCTCTACACGGGTGTCGAACCTGCTCTTTGCTAATACGACCCGCTTATGACGGTATTTCTGTACAAAAATTCCCGCGCGTGATTGATGGTATTTGGTCTTTGGTTTTGGTGCATTTGGTATGCTTAGGACTCAGGTTTCTCACTGCAGATCCTGCCGAATGTCAGGTCTCAGAGCTCTGTTCTTGTCAAATTTCAGTGTAGTACGTAGCAGATGACAGCTTCTAGGTACTTGCAACTGTTCTCGGTGCTGGAAGCTATTCATGCTTTCATGCAGCAGCCAATGAGTCAGTTCTCGGCAAGGTTTTGGTAATTATCTACGTTTGCTTTGGTTCGACTTTGGTACCAGTGCAAATCAGGGATATAACATTCATTTACGAGACATATAGCTGTGCTAGACATACGGAAACCGTCGTAATATGGAGGCCATGAATTCAGTGTTTTGATGCCCGGCAGGCCACTGCCACGGGGACTATCAAAATGGGTCACTTCAAGTATTATGCGCACTTGGACACGCACTTCAAATGGATTTATGTCGAACACAAAGAGCTTCGGGAACTCGGTATGTAGGAGGCGTTGGCCACTGTACTTATCGATCGGTGCTACTAAATATGGTAGGTCTTCGGGTGCTCTCGGGGTTACCGTAATAGGAATCCGGCGTCGACTTCCGTACCAAAGACGTATTACCGAGCACGTACCATAGCATTACCAAACCCATACCATTCCCCAGACACCTGAGATGGCTTAGACATTATGTATCTTCCAGAGTCGAGTAAGCAAACTCATGAAGACACTCAGAACCTCGGACCATAACATAGGAAAACTTCAAAATCAGACACCTGTGACCGTGGGCATATTATTTGTACAGAAATAAACTCATACCCGCTTCACCGAGACGCGCGACGCTTCCAATGCGGTGACAGATGCATGCGTGCGAGGCGGGCTTGGGTCTGTCACACTGTAGAGGGCAGTGTGTGCCGCTTGCTGTGAATCTATCTTCTGCTCTTGATATATTAAAGAAAGATGGCTTAGGGTTTCTCGACACTTTTTCCCCGGAGCACGGAGCAGAGGAATATGCGCTGTCCCCTGGTGGCCAGTCCATCAACTACTGACGTTGCCGTGGCGGGAGCACGAGTGTCTATCGGCCATGACTTTCAAAAACCTGCTGTCTGCATCAAGCGGCTGCGACATGAAACGTTCCGACTAAGGTCGGATTGCGGTGAGCGAAACGGTTCCCACTTACACAACGGCGGCCAGATCTCACGAGTGGCAGTGAACGAAGTCTCAGGTGATCCACAGTACCTCGTGGGCTGCGTACGGGGATTCTGCGGCGTATGTAGAAGTTCACCGGGAGATGGCGCAGACATGTCAGCAGGTTAATCGACCCACTGACAGTGTCTTCCTCACGGTGAGTCTCGTACGCATGTCAGTGAAAGTCTGTTGCTCCGCTGAAATTGAGTCGTGTAATTCCTGTGCACAGTATCACACGGCAAATTTCGAACCAAAGTCCGCACACACAGGCTCCCTGAGCGATGCGATTGCCAGAAAGAAGGAGAAGTCGTTCCCAATATACGCCACGCGGCACCCCGGCAAGCGTGCATAGACGATCCAACGGGGCGGGAAATGCCGCCCTCACAACACAACAACCGTACAGATCGCCGCTTCGTAGTCCAGAGACGTCACAACGCCGTTCCTCGAGTTCTTGGTGTCCACGGCCTCGATGATCTTCGGGATCCATACAGCCCATTCTGTCCTAGCCTGAGGAAGATTCATCTCGAGCAGGAATCCCGTGATACAGACATACCTGGAAGTATGTCCGCCTACCACTTTACTCGACATGATCATAATTATCATTGACTGTCGTGAATGTTGTAAGGGCTCTCTGGACCCGGTTGCCGTACACATCAGGTATGTAGGCACACACATATCGAAGGACAGCGATCGGTTGCGCCTTTGCGTAAAGATTGTCACCCTGACATGACGTTGCTCGGAGAGGTGTCACGCATCCTGCATATGCAGTGCACGGTCTCACCGAAGCTACCGACAGACATGCAATGCAGATCCCAGAGCTGTTGACCACTGGCAGCAAACGCAGTGAATCTGGCAGATCGCTGGAAGTCGCGAACGGAACCTGAGCTTAGATCGCTTCCTTGCAGAGATCCGCACAAGTCAGTATCTCGGCATCTGTCCGTATAGACCCGAGTCTTCTCTGCGAGGATGCCGCTTCTCCACTTTAGGACGCGAAGTCGCCTGGGGGCGCCACTATCAATCACTTGGACTGTGGATGTCGAGGCTAGTTATAAAGTTCATGTACATGTTGGCATCTGTGATGCATGTAGTACCCACTTCCAAGTATCAGAACCTCGTGTGCCACGACGCATAGATGCATATATGCGCCAATGTGACTTTCGTCAACACATCTGCGACCTCAATGGAGATATTCGCCGCAGTAGAGGTGATCATGAAGTCAGCGCCAGCGTCAAGACCCATCAAATTGATCGATCGAGAAACCCAAACTTTCAAATTCATATCGTACCCTCTCTTACATTCTGTACATTCCCTATCACAGGCTTACCTACTACACTACAGGATTTGTAAGGATACAGAGTATGCGATGAGATCTGTCACGACCACGTCTCGGGTCTGGGACGCGTGCAATTAGCTGTGTTCGTTGAAGCAGCAGAGAACCGGCTTACCCGAAGTGGCCTCCCTCGGCCAGGACTTTGTAACTCGCAGAGCGGCCGTCGGCGTTGTCGAAGGGGACAGTGTTTCCCCACCATGCCTGGATGGTGTTCTTTCCGATGGCACCGGCAAGGGGGTACTGCACACAGAAGAAGATGACGATGATCGAAATAGCAACACCCGAATCCAGACCCGCGGACAGGACGTCTGATATGCGCGAATGTCAACCACGCCGATCACGGAGGCAGCATGGGTACCCACAGTTGTACTTCGTCCACCACGAGAAGTGGCGGCGGCGAATGATGTAGTTGAAAATGAAGCCCACGATCGCCCACGGCACGTAGTTGATGGCCGTTGCCGGCGGGATGGCACCAGTTCCGCTGAAGATGACAGGGAAGTTGACGTATTTGACAAATGAGTTGGGCCACTTGAGTGCGACGAGGTAGGCAACCAAAGGACAAACGGCGCCGACAAGGAAGAACCAGACAAGACCGCTGGGAGTGCCGACGTCTTTCAGCTCTCCAGTGAGACACTGAGATCAACTACTTAAACTTACTAATAAATCTGTCCCTGTGAGAACTGGCGGGCCGGGCCAATCACACCCCAGATGATCGACGCAGTACCGAACACTTCAGTCGAGGGGCACTAACGGAGGGCTCAGCGTAAGGACAGCAATCAACTACGCTCGTAAAGACTCACGATGAAACCATTTGCTTGGGACGGGGAGCATATGTCCGGAATGTTTGTAAACATCCATGCCTGCACGGCAAGCTGCACCGTGCCAGCAATAACGGTAGCGACCACCTGCGCCCAGAACATCTCGCGTGGGTTGATCTTCATGTAATGACCCAACTTGAAGTCGGACGTGAACGTCAACGCTTGCGCCATGGTGATGTAGCCCCAGGTCTTGAACATCATCATGGCAATGGGCCGACCGGGCAAGGCGTAGCCGATGATCAGTTCGGTGATGACACTAAGAGAGGCAAAGATGAGCCGACAGAAAACACTGCGCGAGTGTCTGACGTACTTTAATCCGAGTTGCTGGTTGGTGATAGCCTGAATCATGCCGACTGGAATGCAGTACACGAACGCTGTGATGGAAGCCACATGGGACGGATGACATGGCTAAATATATTGAAGTGCTTACCGATGACCAAACTGAGTACGAAGGCCCAGACAGGGAACTCGGTGTGCCACACCTCAATAGACACGATGCCGAACACGAACATGATGGCTGTATGACCTAGCTTTAGCGCAACGTATAGAGGTAATCTGTCATACTGACCAAATATACACATGTACCACCATTCGGAACCTGACGGTACCGCGACATGAGGCGAGAGTGGATATCCGGCTGGTCGCTCATGGCGCGACGGGATTGGACCCAGATTTGCTTGCGGAAGTAGAGGAACGTGTGCGTGATGATCGACGTGATCGACGCAAACGACAGCCCGTAAGTCATGGCGAACGTCGTCGAGAGGAAGAGCGGGCTGTATGATGCGTACTTCCCCATGTTGAGCGAGGCATCCGGGTTCGTAATGGCGGTGACGTTGTAGCTGTTGCCATAGCGGTCGTATGATCCCCTGGAAGAAATTCTGCGAAGGAACCATCGTCAATAAATGTTGAATCGTCGTAAACGAGTGGAACTTACGGCATGTACGAGCTATACCAGGTGTTCGTGTAGTATAGAATCGGCGTGAGGATCCCTTAGAACTCGAGTGAGCAGACCATCATCAGCGATGCAATACCGAACTTACAGAAGAAGAATACAAAGCCGACAGTAATGTTGCCTCTGCCCACCATGGCGTTGCGAGCGGTGACCCGATGTACGAGATCTGGGCCCAGTCGAAGGTGAGCAGCGACATGCCCTACGAACGGCATCAGACAATGTGTGTATTTGATTATGCCTCTCACTTACCAAGCCGCTCGAGTAGCCGAAGAGCTGATTGACGACTACATTATTCGGGACGATCCAGCAGACCCAGTTGAAGTACGACATGGCCTGGAAGATGTAATCCGGGAACCAGTACCAGCAAAACGATCCCAGGAACACAAAGCCGAAGAACCGCTCTCGGCTGATACCACCGCGGTTACCGATACCGGAGTATTGCTGCTGGTGAAGGGTATTGAACACGCGCAAGTAACCAGGTTGGTGGGCCAGACTAGTAGGGGCGGATAAAACGTGGATATGCTTCAATTGGAGAAGGGCTTACTCATCGACGCAGGCTGGACAAGGAACCTTCGTAGAATGCCACCGATCGAGAACCCGATCAACTGGGTGCTCATCACCACCATCCACTGATCTAATCACATAGTCAATAAGAATGATGGATGGTGGTTATGTTCCAGACGTACAGATGAAGTTGTACTCCTGGCTGTAGTACACTCGTTGAACGGCAACGATATCGGTCTGACAGGGATGTCAGCAACGCATCAAAATTCGGTTACATGTATGCAAACCGCATATGCCGAGCCCGCGCCTACACCCGCCATGATAGTGATCAGGACGTGTTCCTTGATGGTGAATGGTCCAGGATTGAGGGATACGCCTAGTATCTTGACCTTAGGCATGAACCTGGCCCAGAAACGCCCAACGGGGAACGACAGCAGCAGTGCAACGTACTGTGTAGACGATGAGCGATCGACCTAACTTATGAGAGAATTTTTCTTACGCTGCCGACGTTGACGGACGGGTAACGGAAGAAGAAGAACTGGTTCATGCCTGGGATAATTACCGCCCAGATGATACCCATGACCCAAGTTCGAATGGTCGACGACGGCATGTCGAAGTCGTCCGTGTTGGCGACGGCTGAACGAACCTCAGGATACGGCGAGTCATCCTCTGGTAGGGCATCGTTCGTAAGCACTTCGTCAAGTTTGGGTCTATGCACTTACCGAACTCGAGAGCTTCCTTGTCATCCAAATTAGGGTCGTCAAATTCAGTTACCGCGACATTATCCTTCACTGCTGTTGGTTGGGTCATTAGCATCCCCGTGAGTCAGCGGTCGAGAAGCGAGCGTGACTGACCGCCCTTCTCGGCATCCAGCCTCTCCTTGTCGGGGATGGAGCTAGTGCTCGAGCTCTCCAGGTCATCACGTACGCTGGCCATGGCGATGTGTGACGCGGAAAGGACGGGTGGGTGTCCGGGAAGACGGGAGGCGAGGGAGTCCTCCTCCGCCATGTGGGTTCTTATGTGCGCCCGAAATTTCTCCAATGCAGATAAGGAGCGCTGGGAGGTGGTGTGTCTGCTGTGTGTAATTGCGCCCGTTGGCATATGGTTGCATCTTATCGTGTCGAGAACTGGGTAGACCAGGTACGAGATGCTTACCAGCACGGTCGGGATCCAACCGGAGGACAGTGACGCTGGCCCCAGTGGAAGCTTCCCGTACTTCTCAATGAGCTGAGTCCCGGCGAGTCGGCTTGGACCTGGTGGAACACATGGTGCGCCTGTCCCACCCAGTATCTTCCCCTTGATCGTGTACGAAGAGGACTTCCGGTTGCACCGAATTTCGAAGAATGGGGCCGCCTTGTCAAGCAGTCCCGCGACAACACATGTCATGACGAGGTGCCATATCAAATACCGGGGATATAGCATGACACTGTTCCCTGTAGTGGTATATCGGTGCGCGAGTCCATGCCGAGAACGAAGAGCTGAACGATAATAGACGTACCAGCGTCAGCATTCCCATGTCCCGCATGTTCACGATTGGGCAACACCCCTGGGCCATGGCGCCGAATTCTAATTTTTCATCCGGAACTCGCAAGATAGCATGCGAATCAAGTCCTAGGCTGGGCGTAACTTACTGGATGGCGGCTTTATCGGCGGCTGAAGGAAGCTACGGGCCGCTATGAGTCTAGGTAAAAGTGTTGGAGCCGCCTATTGAGCTTGGGGTAAAGTTCATGTGCACGCGACCATATGGGCTTCCGGGGAGTGTTTGTATGGTTCCGAGAGTCTGTTCTCGCGGGCCTCAACCTTGCTATCTAATCGCTGGTACCGTCAGGACGCTACCCAGGCTAAGCAAGAGTACTTTGCAGCTGCACTTGCCTCTGGTACTTCAAGTATATTCAAGATGCAGGATGAGACGTCGTCTTGACAGGGGGCCTACTACGAAAGGATTATGTCAAAGGTATAGCTTGACAGAGCGCTTGACGTCAAGTTCGGACTTGACGGTGAGAAGGTTATGACCGAAGTGTAGTGTGAGCCAATTATGGTCGGCCGAGGTCTCATGTGGCCTAGCGTAGTGTGCGTGGCAACAACTTCGCCACTTCTAATCGTGTGTCTCGCCGCAATATGCACGGAATCTTGACGGAGACCATAACACACTTCTTGCTGATCTCCTCCGTGATTAGGGCTGCTCAATTGGCACGACACGATTCTGGTGAGATGCCGCGAGTGGATCCTGAGTAAATCTGTACAGAATAACTCAGACAAGCCCGGTGCGCAGCGCGTGCTACACGATACCTGCAATGTTATCATGTCAGCGTTGAGAACTGGTCGAGAAGACTTGGGTAGCAACTTTGAACTTATCCGACCAGCTTTGGATCAGCTTCCGGAGCGAGAAAGAAAGACACATGTGTTCCGTGCCGCCGGCTGAGGAGCCTGGCTGAACGTTGAAACGTTGATGCTTCCACGACAGTCGTCCAAGCCAACCATTTCCTTTTTAGGCCACGGGTGTTGCGATCGGAGATTTCCACCCGGCGGCCTCCGAGCTTGCCTGCACGTGATCTTCTGCTAAAATGGATTTTATACTGAACGCTCATAACTTGACGTGAGCCACCGTGGCACTTGCTGGACACAGCTGCTGTGACAGCATGACGACTGCTTACTTGTCGTAACACCAGGCCTATTGTATCTGACAAGTCCCGACGCAACGACATGTCGGGTGGAGCAGAACCCAGAACTTGTGGCCTCATTCACCTCCCACAGCAAGCGAGTCTCGTTTCGGATGCCGACGAAGAGGTTCGTCTATCCGGATCCTGTCGTTGCCTGGTGTATCATATTTTGGATCGACTATTATTACCCATCCCATTGTTACGGCCAGTATTGATAGGAACCTACAGCGATACTAGAAATGCCTCAGTCCTCTTTCTGATGGTATGGTGGTCATCACGATTGTAAATTCTTGCATCGTGACCTGCCCTGCTCTCCGAATGTCTTGGTGAAACTCATACGTGTGCCAACTTGCACTAATACTAACATCGTCTGTGCAATAGGTATTCCTGCTCTATACACATTTGGCTGCGCGGCGCCCGCTCGATGAGGCTACGGGCTTCCGAGGGCTCGGACACGTCGACTCACAGAAAGACACGCTCACCGTCGAGTTCACCATCGCAAAGCCGCCGCAGCGGGCTATACAGGAGCCGACTATTCGCCAGAGCAGGTCGACCGGGCGTTCAACCAAGAAGAAAAGCAAGGTTCCGACTGAGTCGCGGGAACATGTCATCGCCATCGAGCTCCTGCAGGACAAAACAGCCCTCCGCACCCGCAAGGGGGACACGGGTAGTGTTCTCTGGCGCGCAAGGTGAGCAGTCTATCACCCTGCCCGTCAGGCATCCATCTGCCCTGACGTCTCGGCAGGAATGACGCCAGGCGCATTGACATAGTCCAGCGTTGATTTCGCGCAGTATGTCCTGCGAAGCTATCATACCCGGGCACCCGACACGCTCTTGGACGCCGGCTCTCTGTCCGCTGCACATGTGCTCGAGCTGGGGTAAGGAACTACCGCTTTGCTGGTGTCCGGATGTTAGCTTATCGCACAGCGCGCCCTTGGTCACGTCAAATGAGAAGTGCTGGAACAGGCCTGCTCGGCATCGCACTATCGCCCATCGTCGCCCGCTACACACTCACAGACATCGACGCACTCATCCCGTTGATACGCAAGAACCTCGCACACAATTGCAACCTACCGAACTTAACCCGCAGCACCACGGCCAGACGATCGGCACATGGCACCAGCGGTCCCGCACCCAAGGATGAAAAACACGCTAACGTCGTCGTGGAAGCGTTGGACTGGGAGCAGCTGCGCGGTGCCTCACCGGCCTTGCGCAAATCTTCATTCCAGTATCCACCTATTGACGTATTGCTTGTCGTCGACTGCATCTATCACCCATCACTACTGCCAGCTCTACTATCCACCATTGACCACTTAACAACACCAGGTGTGACGGCCGTCCTCGTGGTCGTCGAGCTGAGAGCAGAAGATGTCGTAAGGGAGTTTCTGGCGGGATGGCTGAGCATAGAGTCGAACGGGATGTGGCAGGTGTGGAGCGTCCCGGAGGTACTTGACGGTCCATATGCAGTTTGGGTTGGGTGGAAGGCACCTCGCGATGATAGCAAGAGATAACAAGCTGTTCTAACTCTGGCTGGACTGGATTGTTCGGGATTCCGTCTCACCAAATCACGATACCGGCCTACGTTGACGATGTATTGTCATCTGGATGACAGCGACTCAAAAGTATACATCGAACATGTACCATGCCAAACGATCTGGCCCACTATCTGACCCGTCTGCGTCACCGTCGCTTGCGGCTCCCACCGTCTTTGCGTGACGCCTTGCCTCCTGCGCGCTCAGCCTTTTCGCTTTTTCTTCTACGCTGTTTCAATCTATCGGCCTTCCTAGCTGCATTTGTCTGGTACTTGATGTTCTTCGGCTTCGTAGCGGGCTTTGATTTTGATTTTGCCCGACCAACTAAAGCTGGCCCGTTCGCAGAGCGGGCCATATGGCTCGCGTTCACGATAACGCGACCGGCCGGATGTGATTCTCGTGCCTGAGAGCCTGAGACAGCATTGATCGCTCGCGCGCCGTCTGCATCCGCGTCGGAAGGTGAGTGCGACCGTATGCCCGACCGCGGTCCGTGAATCAGCTCGTCTGGGTCGAAGTCCTCGACCACAGTGACCGTGGCGACTTGTTCCTCGTACTCGTACTCGTCTTCTTTCTGCTTGCCCTTCCCCTTGTCGATGGGGACGGAACTCGATATGCCGCCCCACTCCTCTTCATCGTGTTCTTCATCGCTGACTGGACGCAACATTAGCCAACGACATTTAGATGGAGGGAGTCAGACATACCGGCTGCGCCGTACGCCCGCTCTGTCTCAGCCGCATTCTGCACTGCCCGTTCAGCGAGCATTTGTCGTTTCTGGAAAGCCTTGTGATGAGGGGTCTGTGCAAGGTATGCAGGGACGTGAACGCACCTCCCGCCTAGCCTCTAGTCTCTCCTGCTTTTCTCTCTCCATTGCTTTCTGTTTGGCGACCTCCTTCTTTTGCAGTTTACGCTTGTGGAACCCGGTCAAAAACTCTCTGGCAAGGCAGTTGATGAGAGAAACAGTTCCAGTGTGCCCATTACATACCTTCGTGCAACATCGTCGAACATAATTTCTTTGACCTGTTCCTTCTTGGCCCGTCGTTTAGCAGCAATAATCTTGTGCGATTTGGTTAGCACGGCCAAATTTGAAGACCCCATAGTGTAGCGTAGGTCGGTTACACCGTCTGCACAGTCAAAGCAGTCAGAGTCGTCGGAGGAGCGGGAGGAACACTGGCAAAAGTTGATCGTTGGTTCATGGCGGCTAATAGCAGCTAATAGCGAGACAGAACAGGATATCACGTGATTTGGTCCATAGCGTTACCCGACCGCAGTGCTCTGCTGCCCAGTGCTCAACGACCCTCGACGGCGTGGCTGGTTCTTGCCTATTCCCTCTGCCTTGTGTACATTTATCACGCGTAATTTCATTCTAGTCTAGCTCAGACATCCGGTTTCGAACACCATGAACTCGCTATATACCCTTGGAGTACGCCAAACAAACTCCATACAGGCGGACTTGGAACGGTTACGGACTGGCGACAAATCTGCTGCTTTGTTAGGTCTGTAAGCATTTTATACGCACATCTGGAATCTCTGGATTACAGCGCAAGAGTGTACGATGAAACGACTCCTCACGTCTGACAGGGCAGATATCTGCGTCGCTGGCTGCCATGCATCGAACAGTGGATGACTATGATTCCATGGCGAAGAGGGAAATCATCAAGGCGAAACAGGAGAAGGCCATGATGTATGTTCTCTCCTATTGGCTCTGGGTGCAGGCCTTGAAACTAGCGGAATAGCTGACATATCGGTCAGGCGTGTCCAGAAATTTCGGGCCGACTATTCAGAGTTCCGAGCGCAATTCGAAAAGTTTAAGACCGAGGTGAGTCTTTGACGCGTACTGTACTACTCAAGTGGGCTAAATCCTCGTGTTCTTGTGACAGCAAGAAGCGACGGCGCGCTTGGAACTGCTTTCGGCGTCATCATCATCCACGACACCGCTTTCTGCGGGAATGGCACGACAACGATTCATGGCGAATCAACACTCAAATGCGAGTGATGTCTCCGAGTCCCCTTTTCGAAACCCGTCCGCGATGCCAATGTCCGACATGCGCGAGCAACACGCTCTTCACGAACATAGCTTCATACAGAATACCGAGACTCGATTGGACGACTTCATCGCGCAAGGGCGCGCGGTGCTTGACGACCTCGTAGAACAGCGGACAGTCTTGAAAGGGACACAGCGGCGTCTGTTGGATGCTGCGAACACGCTGGGCCTGAGTAGGGATGTAATTGGATGGATTGAGCGAAGAAGGTGAGCACTACCATGGAATCCCACCTGCAGTATCTGACAAAATGAAAATCTGTAGTACACAGGACATGTATATCTTCCTTGCTGGCGCGATCTTCACATTCGTTTGTTTCTACCTGATATGGAGGTACCTGGGGTAAGGTAATGGGAGTTTCGAGCTTTCTGAGATGGACCTCTGCATGTGGCTATGTTATTACCCTATTAGCTCTGTCTCCGACCGACATTGTTCTTTCTGTTACCCGATGGGTCTGAGTCAATACAGCCTTGAATATTGTCGCGGTACCGGGTCCGTGTCACAGTCATTGTCAGCACGCAAGTAGATAAATATCGTATTGGGCGCTTGTGCGATGATTGAGCGTCATTTGTCGACGCCCACCTCCCAAACAGTGAATGTTCCCGGTGTCCCCCACCCTCCTCTGCGACTCGCTTGTCTGATCTCTATTTGGACTCTCCGTAGTCCTGCGCATCTATCCTACCCTCTATATGGCATCATCTGGAGGCAATGAGCGCCATGACTATACTGAAGGTGCCTCGGCCATCGACATCCAACAAGCCTTAACGGCAAGCGCGAGAGGAAGACGAGACTCTAGATATGGAGCAGATGGCGAAGGCACAATGTTCGACGGACCGGGCCACTGTGTGAATCCCAGCAGTGCCTCGAGGATGTCCCTAGACCACCGGCGAAGCAGCGACGCTTGGTCTCGAACATCGAGGTCGCGCAGGGGAAGCGAGGATGGCGGTGGGAGCCGTTCCAGGACCAGTCTGCATCGTAGCCCCAGCAAGACTTCGTATGGCTCCGTTGATTTTGGTGACGACCACTCTGCAGGAGAAGACGACGGTGAGCCAGAGAGCCATGGTATGGCCAGGAGGCGTGCCAGCAGGCCTTCTTCTCCCCCACCGCAGAAGCACGGCGTCCTCGAGAACATCGCAAGCATGTTCACGAGGAATGCTACGGTCATTGAATCACCACCTCGTAGTCGCCGTCCGTCAATTGCGAGCCGTACATCCAGAACGAGACTACTCCGGCGACACAGCAGCAGGCGCTCCGAGGCTAGTTCAGACTACGCGGTCGAATCGGGGGATGAGGGGGACAGCAGGTGGGGCTACTCGTCTGGGGAGGAAGATGAAAGCGAAGGCTCCGAGGATGTCGATGAACTGCGTGCAATGGCCAGCGATAGCGAGCTTGACTTTGGCTCGTATCCCCCATCGCCGAGCGGCGGACCTGGACTACCTCTACTTGCTGGTGACGATATCTTCGGTGGGGAGACCAGACTAGAGATAGGCGACTTTGAGGTACTGGAGCCCCCACCTCCCGGGCCGCCTAGCAGACAAATTATCCACCTTGCGGACGAAGACACTGACATACGCTTCATTGGATTCGAAATTGTCGCATGGAACCAGTGGGCTTGGAGAGCCTGCTGCATTTTGACCTGCGGTATATTAGCGTTGCTCGGACACTGGTTCCCTCGATTGTGGCTGCGTTGGGTCGCCCACGAGAAGGCTTTCAAAGACGCGCAAAATGGTTTTGTTGTCGCTGAGGTGCGTGTACTACTGGCTTCTCGACGTTCATAGTGCCAATGGATCAAAGACTGTATACAGAGATCTTGCCTTAATACAACTACAAACACTAGACTACCCGTACGACCTTTCGACAGTATTCCCCTCGCTGGTCGACCCCGCTGCCCGCCTGCCGCTGTCAAGGCGGCCTTCGCGTACTCAGATCCAGAACGGAAACGGCGATGTTTCGCAGAAACTTGATACTCTTCTAGTCGTGGATTATCGGTATACTCGATTTGCGCTAGATCCTCGGACGGGGTTGTTTTCCCCTGTGAAGTACGTACTCGCTCAGGTGTATTGCTACAATATAAGAGTTGACAATCTTGTATCAGAGATTGGCGAGATCCAGACTGGACGGGTGTCAGCTCTGTTCAACATGGGTTAACCATGGAAGTCCAAACCCAGCGACGTACACTGTTCGGGCTCAACGCCATAGAGATAGAAGGGAAATCCACGATTGCCCTACTAATTGAGGAGGTACGTGTACACCTATGCCCTTGGCGGTCCTCAGAGGCTGAGCAAGCGAACAGGTCATCCACCCATTCTATGTATTCCAAATTGCTAGTATCATTCTGTGGTCCTTGGATGATTACTACTATTACGCGTTCTGCATCCTCTTGATATCGGCCATCAGTATCACGACCACTCTTGTCGAGACGAAGAAGGCGAGTACCCCGCGGCACCCATCACTCACACACTGACCTACTTTTAGACTATTGCTCGCATGCGAGAAATGTCTAGATTCTCGTGTCCCGTCAATGTCTACGTAGACAATGGATGTAAGGTTTCCGTGGGTTCTTTCAATATTTGCACTGACCCCTTTGCTTTGCAGGGATTGAGCGAGAGTCGTCAACCCTCGTTTCTGGAGATATTGTCAACTTGATCGATCCTCCATTGTCTGTTTTGCCCGCTGACATGTTCCTTTTGTCGGGTGATGCCATCGTCAACGAGAGTATGCTCACGGGAGAGAGTGTCCCTGTAGGAAAGGTACCCGTCAAGGATGCAGACCTTGCTAGGTACAAGGACGACAGGGACGTCAGTGGCGATAGCGCGAAGAGCTTCCTCTATGCAGGGACCCGCGTCGTCCGTGTGAGAGGTTCTCTGGCTGCTGATGGAAGCCTCAGGACACCAGCTCTAGGGCTCGTGGTGAGGACCGGTAAGCTCTGAGGCGCGTTCCATCTTACCACTATATGTTAACATGTCACTTAGGGTTCAACACTACGAAGGGAGCCCTGGTCCGATCTATGTTGTTCCCCAAGCCCATGGGCTTCAAGTTCTATCGAGACTCCATAAGGTTCATATTGGTATTGACGGGCGTCGCTGGGTTGGGCTTCTGTGCAAGTGCCGTTCAGTTCGTCAGGCTAGGAGTGCGTGTAGTCATTCTCTTCTGTTGTCATGACGCGCGAACTAAGTCCGTTCAAAGGTTCCGTGGCATACCATACTCATTCGAGCGCTAGATCTCATCACCGTGGTCGTACCTCCTGCTCTTCCCGCCACGCTCTCCATTGGCACCAGCTTCGCAATCAGCCGACTTCGAAAGCTGGGCATCTTCTGCATCTCCCCAAGCCGCGTTAATGTCGCCGGGCAGATCAACGTCTGCTGCTTCGACAAGACTGGCACGCTCACGGAAGATGGACTCGATATCCTCGGCGTGCGCGCCATCGAGCGAAATACGGACAGCTTCGGCGAGCTCCTCGAGGACATCCACGACTTGCCCTACAGTCAGCATAAGGCGAATTTCCTCTACGCGCTGGCGACCTGCCATTCTCTGAAGAAAGTCAACGGCGAGGTCATCGGAGACCCGCTTGACGTTAAGATGTTCGAATTCACGAAGTGGACACTAGAGGAAGGAGATCTCGCTGGTACCGGTGTCATCAAGAGTCGTGCTGGAGGCGACCGCCCGGCTGCTCTGGTGCAGACAGTGGTGCGACCACCTGGGAGCGCTCAATTCAGGGTTGAAGACGCGCTTAAAGGCGGCAGGGTATGCTCTATCACACCTGCTCGTCGGCAATTACACAGGTTGACTGAGAGATAGCATGCGCACTTCCTTGAACTGGGTGTTATTCGCGCCTTCGAATTCGTCTCTGCTCTGCGCAGGATGAGCGTCGTTGTCAAGCGGCTCAAGAGCCATAGTATGGAGATCTATGTCAAAGGGGCTCCGGAGGTCATGGCAGACATCTGTGACAAGGACTCCTGTAAGTCAACGTTCTCCGGTCATCGGTGGGTCGCAACCTCACATAATCATCCAGTCCCGCAAGACTACGAGGACCTCCTGTCTTACTACACACAACGTGGATATCGAGTCATTGCCATCGCGGGGAAGAGCGTGGAAGCGTTGACGTGGCTGAAAGCTCAGAAGCTGAAGCGGTACGCTTCAATAACAGTCAAACTCATTCACCGATTTTGACGTGCGAGACAGTGAGCAAGCTGAGTCCGGCCTCCGCTTCCTTGGTCTAGTCATTTTCGAAAACAAGTTGAAACCCGGGACGACGCCAGCCATACAGGCTCTGCGTGCTGCGCACTTCGCATGCAGGATGATCACGGGCGACAATCCACTAACTGCTGTGAGCGTAGCTAGGGAATGCGGCCTCATCAATCCCGCTGCACATGTCTTCTCTCCAGTATTCATCCGAGGTAAGAAAGCCGTTGAACTGGACAGCACCCGTATTGACATGCACCAGGCAATGCGAGCACGCCTTTGTCGAAGCTGAGGTGGCCATGTACGGATGACGTTGCTTGGGAGCTTGACGACTACAGCCTCAAGCCTCTACCTCCTCCTGCGCATCATACCGTCGACGAGGACGAGCTTGACTTCCACGATTATACACTTGCCATTTCCGGAGACGTGTTTCGCTGGATGGTGAATCATGCGCCTTTAGAGACACTTCAGCGCGTAAGCCTGCCATCCATCACTCTCTGAGACATCCAGTCTCACACATATCGTCTTCCCAGATGCTCGTCAAGTGTCAGGTTTATGCAAGGATGTCGCCGGACGAAAAGAATGAGGTTGTCGAGCGCTTGCAAGGGCTGGGATACACCGTCCTGATGTGCGGAGATGGTGCAAACGACTGTGCTGCGCTCAAGGCAGCGGACGTTGGATTGTCGCTATCGGAGGCGGAAGCCTCTGTGGCTGCGCCGTTCACAAGTCGGACACCTGATATTAACTGCGTGCTCGAAGTGATCAAGGAGGGGCGCGCAGCCCTCGTGACGAGCTTCAGCTGCTTCAAGTATATGTGAGTGTTGGGTTTAGTTGTCGAAGATTGGTTTCTGATGTGATTGTGAAGGGCACTGTATTCGCTGATCCAGTTCACCACGATCACATTGCTATACTCCTTCGCATCGTCTCTGGGTGATTTCCAGGTACGCTCTTCATGAATGCAACTTGATTGGCTGCTCATAATGCTTTCAGTTTCTGTACATCGACCTGTTCATCATCATACCCATCGCTGTCACCAGTGAGTCCGGGTCAGAAAAGTCCACTGTTCTGCCCTGACACCGCCTCAGTGGGTCGCACCGCACCCTTCCCGAAAATACACCCCAAGCGTCCGACCGCCAGCCTAGTTTCCAAGAAGGTACTCTCGAGCCTCGCTGGTCAAATCATCATCACGTCGACATTACAATTCTGGGCATTCATTTGGGTACGACGACAGGAATGGTACGTCTTATCAGTCTGACTTGCGCGTCCCATGCTCACCAGTGCATGACAGGTATCAACCGCCACCTCCGAATGACCCAAGCGCAGATGACAACAAGTTGGAGGCGACCAACTTTGAGAACTCCACGCTGTTCCTGGTATCGTGTTTCCAGTACATCCTGGTGGCAGCAGTCTTCAGTATCGGGCCTCCTTACCGCCGGCCAATGTGGACAAATGGTGATTGATCTATTGCTGCTTGTCCGAGCGGCCATAGCTGATGCACCGTCACAGGTCTCCTCATGATGTCCATCATCGTTCTGTCGCTGTTCAACATGCTCGTCTTGTTATCCCCTCCCCGTCCGGTCGCCAGCCTGTTGGAGCTCGTTCCGCTCCCACCCTCTGCACGAACATCTATCCTGGTCATGGTCATTGTCAACATCGCGCTGTCCATGGCGTACGAGCAGTGGGCGACTCAGGCCGTCTCAAGGATGGTCGGGTATCTCATGGAATTTCGTCAGCACCAACGTGTGAAGAACGGTAAGATGTACAAAGCTGTGGAGGGAGGCATGCGATGACGGCGGCGATGCCTTTGGATTGATGAGCTCCTGCCATTAGCCCGTATGTGCGTTCCGCCGAACAATGCCTCTGTAATCCTCTGATACGGGGAGCCGTGATTGACGTTATGTTACATGTCGTTGGCTGTGTTACTATATTCAATGCTGTCGTGCAAACATACTTTTCATCCTTGGTATTGAGACTTCAAGTTGGCCTTGGGCGTACAACCTGAGGGTGTTCGGCCCTTTCAACTAAGTTATCAGATGGCGCAAACAGTCACTGCGCCTGTCAATCCGTCATCCCACTCGTTCTATGGTCACTATCGGTGACCAGTGGTCCATCACGCCGGGGATGTCTTCCGTTGACGGAGGCGGTCCGCAGTCGAATCTCGACCGTTCGGTTGCGACGGATGCCTTGGCAGTTGCCGGTTGCATCTCTCGCTGCCGGTAATCGGAGTATAAATTGGAAGGCTCAGATGCTATTGTAGCTTCACATCCCGCAATGGTCTACAATCGGCATTCGATCTCAGGAATCTAAGATGAGGCAAGTAGCGCACAACACATAAACTTGGCTTGTGCAAATAGCCCGGATAATTGGGTCGCGTTCCCATCCTCGTCCTCTTCCTCCTCCTCGATCTCTTTCTCTCCCGTCACTTCTGGGTCGATACCCTTTCTGCCCTGGGGGCTTGTCCATTCCTTGTCTTCCTTCCGCCGTCCTAGTGTCGAACGCAGGAGCCAGTCTCCGCTCATTTGCACCTACTCAGCCCATTATCACCTCGAACCTCGTTCCAAGATGCTCGGCTCACCCGCAACAGCATTCCTCGTCTGCCTCCTCTCCTTGTCCTTCTCTGGCTTCGTCAATGGCGCACCTGTCGGGCCCGACCGTATCCTGATGGCGCCGCGCCAGGCAGCTACCCCGACTATGGTTACGACGACCGAGACTATCCAGATGTACGTGGAGAGCCTTGTTGCGTTCTAACCTCGCGCTCATGCTCCGCAATGCATCGCAGGCCAAGTGGTCCCATGCTGGAGACCTGCCAGATTACGCTCACCCCGAACCCGGACGGTAACTACCAGGAAGTCAAGTCATGCACATTGTCTGCCATCAGTTCCTCGTCTGGTGGCTCCGGCGCAGCGGCTGCTCCCTCTGCTCCTCCAGCTGCCTCTGCTCCTCCAGCTGCCTCTGCTCCTCCGGCTGCCTCTGCTCCTCCGGCTGCCACTGGACCTCCTGCCATCGTCGTTGTTGTGAGTACTCTGCCGATTAATGTCGTCTCGTTTCAGCGAGTATCGGGCCACTGCCCCGAATTGTGCTATCGCCGGAAAGTCACTGCTCATGGTATTGACTGCGAAGTGCTCCCCGGAGCCCATGAGGTGCTGTTGACTCAAGAACGATGAGGCCTCGTTGCTCAGCACCCTGCTGTCCGATTACCTTCGAATTATGAATACTTCATGCCGGCGAGAAACGAGGCACATCCGGTTGACTACGCCGAATGTGTTCCACCACGTGCTTTATATCGCTTGGCCAATCATGTCAGGCTCTGTTACCAGGGTTTGACATGAGGCAGGGGTCTCAAGTTCGTCGCTCGGAGGTTCCTCCTTATCTGGCAAGCCATGGCGATATCATCGAATGTAACTCAAAGCGGCGTGGGGCGTGACTAGTGTCGCCGCCTTCGCACGGCGGGCGCGGACGACTGTGACATGGTACACCCTGTAGGTGCTGGGTCTGGCAGTCGACAAATCGTCTCCAGATTGCCCGCTGCAGTATCGAGCTAAAGCCCCACGAAGCCACAGTGACATAGAATTTGCATAGGCATGTGTGTTCTGAGAGTTGTCTTCGACAGTGTTCAGTCTTGCGCAGTGCATGATCGTGGCCCGCGCTCGTTGACTGCTTCCACATCAGAATTTATTGACGCTCACATTCCCATCGCGCAGGGTACTTCTTCCATCGACTCCTCCGCTATCTTGGCTACTGGTACCGCTGCCCCGTCCGTCGCCGCGAGCGCAACGGTGTGTTTAGTATGTCTTTCCCCATGTGGTTGGTACTCACATGACAACGCAGGGTACCGCAGCAGCCTCTGCTACCAGTGCCGTCGGCGCTATCAACAACGGGGCAGGCGGTGCTGCTGCCAGCGTGAGCGCTGCCTCGTCGGCGAGCGCCGCCGCTGTGTCCAAGACGGCCGTGTCCGACGCGGCGAAGACTTTCGTCATCCCCGGCCGGCACATTCTCATCCTTCCTGTCGGCCTGATCGTCTTCTGCGTCATCACCGGGACCATGTTGCTTGTGATCGTGTTCCAACACTTTGAGCGCATGCGCTATCGTAGGGTGAGTCGGCTTCGACTGGTGCGCGCGTGTCATGGGGGTTTACGCTGGTTTTTGCAGGCGTTCCGTCAGCGCAAGCTTGCTGAGCAGGGCGCTGGCATGGGCTATGGTGGCATGGGGTGAGTTTGTATGTAGTTTCGCTGGACGTCCCCGCTGATGACGATGGCTTGTTCTGCAGGAAGGCGTAATGGTGATATCAGTGGGTTCCATCTAGAGTTGTTCGACGGACATAGTCAGTTTCGACTCTTACAATTTTGCGTTATTTGCTTGTCTGTTCCGGAGGATGGCCAATCCTACGGATGCATGTACTCTAACCGCCTGGGCTTGTGGCAAATACTCGATGATTTCCCGGCAACTGATGACTTACGCTAGCCCTGATGTCTTCGCGAGCAGAGCCTGCTTTGTTGCTGTCTGCACGCTGCCTGTCCCTGCGCTCTCAAGATCTCACCTCCTGCTTGGACTTTCAAACACGGCGGCAGGGTCATGCTGCTTATCTAACGATCACGTTTCCTATGACGCGGTGCCCGACCAGAACTAAGTTAGACTCCAGCTCATTCGGAATGGGCAATCTACATAAACAGGGGTCTCGCACACTCCTGACTGACATTGAAACGCTAAGCATCGGCGCAAAGCTCCCGCGTAGGATATAAGGAACTCTCGTTCACCAGTCCTCCCAAAAACATCCGCGCGATGGCTAGCTTACCTCTCAGATCCGTTGACAAGTTCTCTGTGACTTTCGTCGTTGACAATTGCATAGAATGGTCAGTGCTCTCGAGTCGCAGGTGGTTAGACTATGGCTGATGCGCGTGCGCCAGGATGACGAAGTTGCCTCCGGGCTTCACCCATGAAATGAAGCAGCACCTCTCACATAACCCTCCGGTGGACGATGTCACCGGGGCGCCTTTCGTGGATCTGGAGAATTGCTGCTGCGGTGAGTGTGTTTCGAGATCTAGTCGTACAACTCTCTGAACATCGCTCCGTAGGCGCGCATGGGTTCTCAGCTCTCATCGTTCGTCTCCTGAATCTTGCAGGTGTACCAGTGCTGATGGGTACCGCACGCAGGAGACGCAAATCGAGGGCGAGGCGGCGCACTTCACGCTCTTCGACACAGGCCCAGACTCGCGCGCGATCGCGCGGAACGTCGCCGCGTTGCAGGTCGACACGCACAAGGTCGAGCGGATCGTCCTCTCGCACTGGCACGCCGATCACAGCGGCGGGATGCTCTCTTTCCTTCGCATCCGCGCGCAGGAGGCCTGCCGCTCGCCGTGCGTCGTCGACCTGCACCCAGACCGCCCCGTCGCGCGCGGCATCTCCGTCCAGGGGAAGGTCATCGGACGGATGCCCAATGACCCGACGTTCGACGAGATCCGTCAGCTCGGCGGTGTGCCGGAGACACATGCGGAGGGGCATGCGGTAGCGGGTAGCACGGTGTGGGTCAGCGGTGAGATCCCGAGGGTGACAGAGTTCGAGACAGGGTTACCCGGCGCGGTGAGGTGGACCGAGCAAGAGGGAAAGACGGATTGGGTACCCGAAGAGGTTTGATCTCTGTCGAGTCCCGCTGCGTCCGAGCGACTGACCATTCGCAGCATATCATGGACGAAAGATACGCTGCCATCGATGTTGCCGGTAAGGGGCTGGTACTCTTCTCTGCGTGAGTGTCATTTGCACCACTGTGAATTGTAACATACGCTCACAGTCAATCTTTGCCTTGCAGTTGCTCCCATGCTGGTATAGTCAACGTGGTCAAGGATGCGGTAGCGAAGTTCTCGAGGCCGATCTATATGGTCAGTACGACAAGTCTTCTCCAAATACTGACCATTAGCTGATGAACCACTTTCAGATCATCGGTGGATTGCATCTTGCAGGGACTGACCTCGTGCCACGCATCGAGCCCACGGTGGAATTCCTGGCCAACAAGCTGCGCCCGGCACCAACGTACGTGCTGCCGATGCATTGCAGTGGTTTCGCGGCCAAGGTAGCGTTGGAGCATGCGCTGGGCGAGGGGTGTGTCCCTGCCGGCGTAGGTCATAAGTTTGAGGTGACTGGGGATCGTGAAGCGGAAAAGCACGTCTTTCCTCCGTCTGTTCAATAAGCCAGAGAGGTCTGCCCTGATGTCGAACCACCAGTCTGAATTTGTGTATCTCTGTAACGTACAGGGCGGAATATAGATTGTACAGTGCAGTCACCACCAAGGAGTACACCATCTCATACGGAAGGGGAATACGCGCTATAGGGTGTTGTAAAGTAGTTACAGAGGATGCTCAGTGTGTACAGAAGATAAGTTGGCACTAATAATCGGCGCCAAGCACGGGCTGCACAATCGCTTCATGATACTGTGTCTGCCTCACCGGGATGGCGAAGGTGAACTCTGGGTGGTTGCGCCTCTTGAGGGTGATGTACGATCCCTCCGGAACACTCCATTTCTCCGTTCCTAAGGGGATTTGCCTGCCTCGCTTGCCGAACGCATTCTCCCATGAACTGAGTCGACCTCCCATCGTGAACACGCTCGGGGCATTAGCCACACTTGGCCAGAGCGAGAAGCCTGGGGGAAGGTTGACGGGGGTGCGTCGACGTGTGTCGAAGAAATCGAGACAAAACGCCCTGTACCCACTCATGCCTCCGTCCCAAATACGGATGACGAGGTCGGAGTTCGGGATCGACACAATGTATACGTTCCTGTCGTCAGGCTGTGGCTTCGCCTGCCCCACGATAATTGTTGTGAGTACATCTCAACACGTCAGACAACGAGAGTAACGATGAACTCACCCCTATAACATTTACACCCGGTCCTTAAATGATATCCTCAACGGCAGCGTTGAATCCTTCGATGTATTCGTGCATGTTGTCGTCGGTGGCCTTGTCGCCCCCCAAGCCCCTCAAGAATTCTTTGAATTCTTCATCGGCTTTAGGCTTGTACCCTGGCACGAGTTCCATCAGATACTCGTCTCCCCTGTTGAGACAACGAGGGCGCTGTTGCGATGCGGAGCCCTGTCCTTGTTCGCGTTGGGCTTCGATCCTCGACGGGCGGGCGGAAGTCCGAGAGGCAGGCATGATGGACTGGTGTTGTTGTTCTTTTAGGGTGGGAGATACACTAGAGCGATCCCGACACTCGTGAACAACAATTGACTCGATGAACGCGGATGGCGGAAGACGTTATGATTGTTGTGGCTCGAATGGCCGCGGTTTGCTATGATCGTTGTATGTATCTATTTATCATGAATCTCGATCATCACCTGAGGAGGAGGAGGAGGAGGAGGAGGAGGGGGGAGGGGGAAGCGCACAGAGTATGTAGCTGGAAGTTATGATAGATCTCTTCACTTTCACTGACATGCTAGTACTTATTCGTTACAAGCTTCTGACTCAAACTATATATGGCAATATCTGTAGGATGTCGATGAACCTGCGTTGTGGCAACTTGCCCACCGATGTGGCAAGTAACAGTGAAACGATGTGTAACACACCAATAACATACTGTTGTTACCGCCAGTACACCAAGTAAGAAACGTTTGAACACGGTCAGCGTGGTTGCTTACCACTGCTTACTTACCCTTTTGTTACTCATCACTAGCTTGGTAAGCCTGAAACCGGGATTGGGTAATTCGAAAGTCGCCGAAGCTTGGCCGGACAGACTCGCGTTCCTTGCCGCCACCCTCATCCTGTCTGCGCACACTTTCTACGCTACCTGCTCTTCGTGACACGCAAATATGTTCAGGACAATCGCTGCAAAGGTACCACTCCGCCGCTGTCTACACACAGCGCCACGTTCAACGGCAGCCTCACGTCCTAGCCGCGCCGGTGCCGTTGTCGCAGGGTCGGCGGTGGTCGCGACATATCTTGCTTGGAGAACATTGCAAGGGGATAAGATTGCGCTGGACTCAGTGGCTACTTGTACGCACGCCTTTTGTTGTAGAAATGTCAGATTCTAATTGAATGTCTCCAGCTTCGAAACATGCCTCCGCAGGAGCTAAGGTTGCAGATGCACCCGACGCCGTGGCAGGCGCACGTCAGGCAGACCCAGAGGAAGCCTCGCTAGAAGAGTCTCTGACTGACCCAACGGACATGCGCGAGCACGCCGAAGAAGAGTCCGAGAGCGGCGGCGGCGCGTACAACCCCGTTACTGGAGAAATCAACTGGGACTGTCCTTGTCTCGGTGGAATGGCACACGGCCCTTGCGGTTTGCAGTTCCGCGAGGCTTTCTCGTGCTTCGTCTTCTCCGAGAAGGAGCCCAAGGGTATCGACTGTGTGGAAAAATTCAAGGCTATGCAGGACTGCTTCAGGGAGCATCCGGAGCACTACGGTGAAGGTGCGTATGACCACTCTGACACGTTCATTTCGATATTGAGCTTGAGAATGTAGACATCATGAATGACGATGACGAGGAGGAGGATGTCGCACCTCCTGCTGGCGACTCCCCCGTCGGTGGCCACACCTCCGAGGCGACCGCTCAGACACTGTCCGAGTCTCAGGCGGAGCAGCCCGCGTCGAAGCCGTCAGCGTCTGCTGCATAGTTTTAACCCTCAAAAGTACTAGACACGCTCACGCTATGTTTATTGTAATCTGTGGCATCCCCGCTCTGCTCGCATCATCTCGTCATGCCTGGTTCGACGTGCCATCTAGAGCGTCAGACTGCTGAAGCTTTCCGTACATGTGCGTTCGAGCAATGTGCTGTCGGCGACTGCACGCTACTATACATCACCACCAAAGCATATTTTGTCGGCGAATCGAGGGTTGCGTAACAAGTAAGGCGTGTTGTAGCAAGTCACGCAGTTCTTCGTTCGAGCTCGAGGATACTCTAGTCGATGCTCGATTGCGCTGGTCTCGGTGCAAGGGACCACGTCCATACACTTCACGGACGAGCTCTGCAACTATATTGTACATTGAACTTTGACAAGCAATACTGTTAGTTGACAACGTAGGGCCAGAAATTCCTGAGCAATATCGTACAACACGCGTATGACTGCAGCGATTACTGTACATGTTCGTCAAATCAAACTACTTACAAATGTAGCGATCTGGCCGCTAGGGACGACATGATCATCTCCAGAAGCTGAGGCAGCTCGTCTGGACGGGGGAGCCCGTCCCCTTCGTTCGCTCGAGCTGTGGCTAGACTAGCCAGCGGGCCCAGTCCTTTTGACCGCCGCCTCGCATCCACGGTTGCATAGAACTTCTCCAGGGCCCTGTCGTCATCCTTCTCAACCGCCGCGGCCACCGGCTCTCCCCGGATATACCCGTAGCCAGTTGTGGATATCTCGTAGGTGAGAGCCATCTCCGTGCGCGGCGAATCCTCGAGGTAGAGACCCCACACTGGCAGGTCCTTGCACATAACGCGCACGTAGGTGAGCTCCGTGAGCCCCTCGTCGAAGCGAGCGAACACCTGAGACCACTTGCGCCGCGGCGTTTTGTTCTGGAAGTCGTCGCCTGTGTGCATGGGGCAAGAGTCGAGCACGAGCGAGGTTAGGGTGTTTTGGTGTTTGATAATGAAGTCCTCGAGGTGGGAGCTCGTGTCGAAGCAGAACCCGCCGAGCTTCAAGCGGCGCAGCGCGGGGAAGTGGAGGACAGAGAAGTCGATTCCCGGCCACACGGAGCCGACCGGCTGATCGCTCGTCATGGACAGGGAGGTGAGGCTTTGCGCGGGGGCAAGGACATAATCCGGGAGGTACTCCTGCCAGAACACTTCCCAGTAGTCTTGGTTGTCCAGGCTGCGTGCGCGATGTACCGAGAGAGTCAGGTCTTCTAGCGGCTCCATCAGCCGTTTGAAATTTTCCTCCATCATGGAAGGCTCAGGGCATGGTAGGAGATTGTGCAGCGACAGCGTCTTTAGATGCCGCGGCGGGGTCTCCCCAATTGTGCTCAGCGCGTCGAGAATGTTGAAATGATGCATGACGTACTTCGAGACGCCATTGCTGACGTCGTCGGGCGACACTGGGATGTGCAATGGGTCATTGTACGGGCCTGCGAAGAGGCAGACGTGGAAGCTCTCGAGCAAGGGAAAAAGTGACCCGAGCTCTGAGATGATTTGATATATTGTCTTCGCAACCTGGTCCTGTTGACCAACTGTTACATCGGATGGACAAAAGACATCAATGGGCCAGTACAACCATAGGCACGATGCATGTTTACCTTGAATAAGTCCTGCGTTCGCAGAGGCAACTGGCGATCGGTCTATGAGTCTGTACTCCAGCGTCTTCGCCCATTTCGCCAACCGGTTGCGCAAGAGCAAGAGCATGTTCGCCACGCTCTTTCTCGTATTCTTGAGCACTAGAGACTCGAAGGCAAGAGACGTCGCAAGAGACTTCCACTCTTTGTTGATTGTGCGTAGCGTACGGCGGTCCCCATGCTCTGAGGCTTCAACGAAACCAATGAGTACCTCAGCAGGACATCGGTCGATCGGTGCAGGCATCGCTGCTAGATGCTGTTCTCTTTGATGATGCGTCGGCGTCTCAGAACTTGCGACTGGTAGTGCACGCAGTGAGATGCACAGTGAACGGCGGGTGAGTGCCAGTGCGGGGCAAGTGCGGCGGTAGACACTACGGCGATCTCGATCGCCTCGTGGCTACTGGACTGCCCCGGGCCGTAATTTATTTAGCATCCAACCGTCTACATCTGTGGCTGAACTTGAACGCGTCGTTGTATATTCTTACTTACGGATTGAATGGTGCAAACACATGGACGTATACTCTGACGCGAGTGTTCGGTCCACCTTGGGCACACGACTCACTGGTGGACAGCCTGAAGGGTGTTCATTTCGTGGGTAAACCACAGTGCAAGGCAGAAAGCTATCGGATTCTCTCGATTTTGGTGGTTTGGTTTGATGAGGCCTGAGGCTTGGAACACACCATCTAATCCCAGACTGAGATCGTGAATTACCAATACCCACCATGTTTGTGTCGAACCTACAATTGATATTCAGAACTTCAGAATGTACCCGGACACCAAGGTGCCCATTCGAGGTGATGCAAACCCGTCCTGTCAATACATAAGACGAGACGGCGAATATACAGGCGCACCACCGCTGAGTTCAGGATAGCTTTGTCACCGCACGTTGCTGAGCACACTGGGTATATCAAGAGGCGGCAGGAATTAAATTTCCGTACACAAGGCCGGTTTTTTCCGAAACTTCAATATCTGGACCCCCCCACCCTACCACCCCCCTGTATATTATTATTTTTCGGCGGTCCTGTCTCCAGACCACCCCCCACCCTCGTTCAATCAGTGAAAAAAGTGCCTTTATATTGCTGAAAAATCTACAAGCCACGTAGAGTATGTGAACACTGCTCTATGACATCCGCACATTCTTCGACGCCGTGTGAGTGGCTTAGTGAGAGCGCAGGCGGAGACGTGGACACGCAGATATGCAGGTATACATACGACCGAGTTGGCAGACAATGAAGCAGAGTGGTGATCAGGCAGGCGGGTAGTCGGCAGGCGGGTGGCATTGTAGGTGCCAGACGGGCGAGCATGCAGGCGAACGAGCCGGGAGATTCATTTGCTAGATGGGCGAGTGTGCGGGCAGAAAAGCGGGCGTGCGCGCGAGTAAGCGAGTGCACAAACACACGGTCAACTATTCGTACGGGTGTGTGCCTCCAAGCTGTTCAGCACAAGGATACGTAAGCAAGGGTATGGGCGAGCGGGCGAACGTGCAGGAGAGCATGTGGATTGGCGGGCAGGCATTTGAGCGGGCGAGTGGACGCGCACGAGGGCAGACAGACGAAATTTCGGGTTGACGGTCACTAGCTACCAGTTGTGCCAGATGGCAGACACATACCGAGGCAAATGAGAATCCGGAAGAGGGCATGCCGAGTAGGTGCAGACGAAAAAGTATGGGTGAGAAGGACCAGAGGCTCGGGGGATAGATAGAGGACAAACCGAATAGCGAGCTCAAATGCGCCGTTCCGGTTACGCTGCTACACACCAAACTCGCTTGATGAACTATCCAGACTGTAAAGTGCACTAGGTCGCAGACGGACGGCGAGGGACATACCTTTGAATCGCTACCTGCCGCGCACACAACACTTACTGAAAATACGTGCGTCGCCTTCTTGAGCATGCCGCGCCCGATAAACGAGCCCGAAAACCTCACACATCCTTGTTTGCGTGCTCGTGTTTGGAGTTGTCGCACAACGGTACGTCGAGAACACTGTTACAGTGTTAGCACGCACAAGGGCCCGGGGTGAACGTTCGAGTCTTTAGCTGAAAACGTCTTCCCGTGAAAGGAAACAGTAGATAGCGGTAAAAGTCGCCATCGTCCAGTCGAGGAGGAGCAGTGGAAAAGACGGCGACCTAGTAGTAGTACGCGACGAGAGCGCACTGTTGCTTCCGCCGCAGACGCACCCGCCACAAGCTCAGCCACACACTTGAGGTTACAGTTCCGCCTGCGATCCACTACGCACATTTAGACTGCGATTGAAAATACCGACCTCGAAAAGTAGACTAGCCAATGGGCCACGTGCAAAAAGGGTTGTCTGCGTGTGACAGGAAGCTAATTTACAACTAATCCGACACTATCGACGGTCTACTTCGACCGAGTTGGGGAGGGTATGACGGTTTTTTCGAACTTCTGGTATAAAATTTCGGAATCGCCCATCCAAGGGTCGACCACCCTCCCCACCCCCGGGGCCTTGTGTACCCGATCTGCCGATCCGCCGCCTCTTGGGGTATATGGGTGTTTTATGTCCAGCTATTCAAGCAGCAATGTCTCGTTCATGAGAAAGTAACATGCATACACCTACTTGTGAGACGAGACTTTGCCGTGCACACGACCCATGCACGGCCGGCTTCTACATACGCCCCGTGGGGCGTACAGAAGGTTCGCATCTCAGCGTTCTATGGGTCCGGTGACCAAGATGCCGTACATTGTGCAGGCGCCATGCAACATCTCTAGAAGACTGCCCTTGAAGCGCGCGCGTAGAGGGCGCATGAGGAGAAATATTATGGACAGCCATAAACGGCCCGGTACTTCAGATGCCTTCATGCATATGCATAGAATGGGTCAAGAAGATAGGCAGCTGCAGGACTGCTGGAAATGACCAGCAGGACGTTGCCTGTCCGGATCAGCACATACGCATGCACCATTCATTCAAGGCATCTGACTCCCGGGGCCGTGGCCAGTTTTGAGCCGAACATTACCAGACCTCCGTGCGCAGGAGTGTGAGCACGGACCTTTATCACGAGGAATCCGTTCATTTCCGTCTAGGAACAGGATATGAGCGAATAAAGTGAATGCATACGCACCTCATTCAGCTTCTTCTCCACCGTATCTTCACGAGCTAGATGAACGCCGACGCGAGCTCTTTCTACCGGGAGCAAACACCTCGTCTATTGACATCTAGCAAACGCGAACTGAGTCATGACCCAGAGCATGAGAAGTATAGAAGGCCTCGGGTTTCCGCTCGGCGCTCAAGCTGCACTGGCGTAATTTGCAAGTACATGGAAATAGCCCAGTGCTATGGCCACCGACTAGACTGAGACGGAGTCGCAGCGACAAGGATCGAAGGCAACCGCTACCAAGAGACAAGCGTAGCGATGGGATGCTTGTCGTCTCCAGGTCTTCAGCCTTCCAGCCCGCCTTGTCCGTGGGCATGGTATATCGGCTGCGGTTTTGTTGTATTTCCCGCCGATTTTCTTGGCGAAATTCAAGGCCACTGTTGAGCTGCAAAGATACAGTGCGTTCATCCAGAGGTCATGAGTGCGAAGTAAGAGGGAGAGAGAATGAGAATGAAAAAGGGACGGAGGACACGCGCTGACACGAGGCAGTGGGAACGCCGAACAAGGTTGACGTTGAAGTCTAAATTGGCGATATGCCATTTGTGGCTACTGTCTACAGTGACCGCGCCGAGCTAGAAAGCCTCTTCTCCTCTTTCTTCTTCCCCGCTTGGTCGCCTTTATGTCTTTGTGCGCGGTCAGTATTCTTTTGTTCTGTTCAGCCTCTCCTGCGTCTCAGAGCACCCCATCACTTATGTTTGACCCGCAGATCCTGCCACCCACAAACTTTCTTGATTCACTGTTCACGAGCAATTTGCTGAGCCACGCCAGTCATTCTTACAAGTCCCGAGGGCTACTGCTGCCTCTTCCGTCCCTAGACCCGGCAGGATCATGGAGTCGTCGACCGTCGCCGAGCAGCGCGCAACCGCTGTCGCGAAGCTCAAACGTGCGGCGTCACTACCTCGCATGAAAGACGGGCGCCGCCCACCGATGCACGTCGAGGCAGTTAGTGAGGGAGAGAGGATGGAAGATGATGGGCGGGCTGATGAGGAGATTGCGGACGAGTCGGATGTAAGGCGGGAGTCGCAGGAGGAAGGGTCGGACCAGGGACCTGGGACGGAAGCACCGGCGGAGGAGGCGAAGGTCGAGGACACACCGCCACCGCAGCCACCAGAGACCCCAGTGCAGTCGGAGAGCACACCGACTCGCACGAAGCGGAGGTCGCGGTCACGGACGCGTTCGAGGGGCTCCAGGGACATGAAGAACAAGACCTCGAAACATTCGCCACACATCAGCTCTGCCAGCCATACAAACGAGTCTTCCGCGGACGAGTTCTATCCCTCTGCACCAGGAGAGGATGCGCCTCCATCGCCCGTCCTTGTCTCGCCTATACCGTCTCAGGCGTTCATGTTGCCAGCTTCGCGGTTGCTCGCTTCGCCGCTTTTCATGCCAGGGACACAACCTCCAACACCGCTGCCCACGCTCAACGACTTGCAGACCGTCGCTCGGATGGGTTTGTACAGATCAAACAGTGCGGGCGCAGCTAGAGCCATGGCGATGTCCAAGTTGACTGGCGAACCTGTGGACCTTGCGTTCATCTCGCCTTCTGCGACACCCCCACCCGGCGGCGCACGGCTTCAGCGTAACAACACAGTCTCTGGAGGTGAGAGGTTAGCCGCGCGAAGACTCATGCTGAACAGGCTGGGCAACCGAATCAATGCAACGGACGGAGATCAGACGAGTGGTGGCGAAGAGGCACCCGCACCGGTCCTACCACCGAAGCGCAGGAGGCGGCGATCCAAACGCGCTTCCTCGCGTGCTTCGACGGTGGTGGACGATCGAGAAGAGCGCGAGCCTCCTTCCACTACGCCTAACACCCCGCTCGTACCACAGTCGCCGCTACTCGCGTTGAACTTCAATGTCCCGGAGCCTCCGCGTCCGCCGACGGCGAATGGAGATGCTGGCCGCGCCTCTCCGCTAAAGAAGCTGAACGGTAGCCTCACTTACGACTGGGAGAAACCCACCGGTCATCGGGGCGTGGTTGTCGAGGACGAGGACGATGCACCCGAGCAATTACCGCTCCCCAAGCCGCCTGTGACACCTGCGCGCGGATTCGCGCAGTCTTCCGGAGTTCGCTTGCCACATTCGTCCGATGCGCCATCAAGCACTTCGACGGACTCAGCACCCGCAGGCGCCATCGGAGTGCCAGTATTCCTGTCCAGAAATGCTGGACTTGGGCGTGAGGTATTCCCAGCGAGCCCATTCGCTACTCCTTTCAAGGAGAAGCCGTTCCCGGATGATGACGAGCAGGTGCCTTATCAGGAAACAAGGAGTAGGTCGAGACTTGCTTTCGAGCGCGAAAGTGAGATCAGTTGGGTAGCTGAGCCATGTAAGTGACGGATGCCTGCGGCTATCTATGCCGGTGCTAAGCGTCCCTATCCTTAGTGCCTGTTGAGCGTCCACCTGTGGAGGAGGACGAAGACGATGAGGACATGGACGATGAAGACGAAGAGGAGGACGTGCAGGATCCCGATCCCGAAGTTGAGGAAGGCGAGGAGGCCAGTGTTGACATCGAACAGCCTGCGCAACTCTCGTTTGATCGGCCTCAGCTCACAGCACGAACTGACCTAGTTGTTGACCTCGAGACGTCTCCCGAACCCACATCCTCGCACATTGTACCTTCCCCCATCTCCCCAATAGCCCCCCTCTCATCCCCGACACCTGACCTTCAATTGAACACGCAAATCTCCCCTGTTACTTATCCTCGGGCGCTTGCTGTGGGGACGCCCAGCCAACTTGACCGCGTTCCTAGCGCCGAGCTCTCCGACTGGGAGGACCGGGCGAGGCTGACTGACTCTACGATCAAACGCCCTGCGGATCCCACCAGTGCCTGGGAGCGCGTGAAGAACACTTTTGGTATCAGCCGAAGTGCCTCTGCCAGCGGCCGACGCTCCCGCACCAACAGCATCAACGCTCGGGACCGTCGCAACAACACGGATTCCAGTGTTAGTCGTGATAGTCGCGTCAGTCTTTCGAAGGAGAAGGGTGAACACGCTCACCCTGATACACAGCCGCCGTCCGCTTCCACGTCCATGCTCTCTCTCCCCGCCGGTGCTCAGATGGGCCTGCATTCTCCAGTACCACCTGCGACCCCTGTGGAGAGGTTGATGTACGAGACAAACTCCAAGTTACACCCCTTCCCTGGCCTGAAGCCTTCGTTCCCTAACATGAAGGCCGACGGGAAGGGAGGGAAGCCGATGACGCCGTCCGCCTCAAGTCCGGATGTTGCTTCGCCCAATGGCCTGGGAGAGGCACCCAGCTCGAGTTCATCGAACACCGCGACATGGCAGTTTGAGAACGGCAGGGAACGCAAGCTCTCCCATCAAGCGTCCGACAGTCGTCTCCTGCCAAAGTTCAACGGCGCCACCTCGCCGCCTCCTGTGTCGGCTGTTAACTCGAACACTTCGCAAGGTGATTACTTCAGTGTGCATCTTGTTCCTGCTCCTGTAAACGCAAGCACTACAGGTTCGATGAAGCTGCCGATGAATCGGGAAGGCGTGAAGAAGTGGCTAAGCGCGAAGAAACTTTTCTCCTCCCAGACGTCCCCTGTCACGTCAACTAGCGGTTCCAGCTCGCCTCCGTCGGAAACTCGACCACGGATGGGACAGAAGAAGGGGTCATTCTCCGACTTGTTGCCCAACAGAAAGGAGATAGACAACGATTGGGAAGAACCTAGCCGGGGCAAGTCACCGACGCCGTTGAGTCCTCCAAGTACCTCCACCTTGGGCAAGCCGCGAGATGGGAGACTGCCCCCACGAGGGCCAACTCCTGTGTTCCCCAGCCATGATTCTAGCCCGGAGACAGTCTTGTCCCCACGGCCAGACGTGGATTACGGCAGATCAAATGGCGTGGCATCGCCGTCCGACTTCTCCGCCTCGTACCCATCCCCGCCTGATCCACCATCCTCGACAACTCCAGACCCACAATCCTCCCTTGACGACTTCCCCATCCGCTCGACTTCCGAGTCATACTCTGACTCATCGTTGTCTCATCGCTCTACAGACCAGCTGCGCACGGAGCCTTCACAAAGCGCATTCATCCTCGAGCGTCTCGAGGAAGTGCTTGGACGAGGCACGAAGGCTTCCATGTACCCCGACGACCCTCCAAGAAAACTCGTCATGTCTTCACCTCTCCTCCAGGTGGCAAACGCCAACACTGTCAAAGACAGATTCCTGTTCCTCTTCAACGACATCTTGGTCATCGCGAAGCCTATCGTGCAGGATCATGATGCGTTGTTGGACACGACCAAACCCAGTCCGCTGGACAGGAAATTCATCGTGAAGAGTGTCTGCCAGCTGCGCGATCTCCGTTTGTGCAGTGACCGAGACGAACCGCGCTCGAAGCTGTCCAGCAACACCAATCAGATGCGCCATCCGGTGATAGGGAACTTTGTGATGCAGTTCTCAAAGGATCCTGACCATGCCATCTCTGCGTTGTTTGCCAAAACGAACTGCAGAGACGATCCGACCGCTCTTGGACAGTTACTCTTCCGTACTGTGGATCTGGATAGAGTGAGACTGGGGGAGTATCTGTCTCGTCGGACATCTAAGGTCGTCCTTAAGGCCTTTGTCGATACATTTGGCTGGACGGCTCTGAGGATCGACAAGGCTCTCAGAGTCTTCCTCCAGGCAGTCAACGTCCCGAACAAGCCAGGTTCGCTGGAGTACCTTCTAGACTCTTTCGCTAGTCGGTGGTACGAAGCCAATGCAGGAGTCGTCGCGTATGATAAGGACCTCGCCATCCGGCTTGTGCGTGCTATCGTGCAGCTCAACGAGGTCATGCACGGGGCTATCGCGCAGGAGTCTGGAATCACAGGTTACCCGAGGCGCAACGTCACGTCGCACGACTTCGTCGAGGCCTTCAGAAAGTTCGACCGCAGGGGCCTGGTCAGTGACGACCTCCTGAACAAGGTCTATACCTCGGTTCGGAAGGAGAGACTGACGCAGGCACGCAGCCTATCTGCGTCTACGTCCCATCCTGATGTCCCTGTCACCCTCAAGCGCCACCTTCCTTCTCGCCTCACCTACCGCATGCAATCAGAGCCCGTCATCCTGCGCATACCGCAGCCCGACCCACAACTCACGATTCAATTATTCGGTCAGGATCTGGTCTTTGATCCGCCTGTGCTCAATTTCTCCAAGTCCTCGGAGGCGTCCTTCCGCGTCACTGGTACGTCGCTGGGCACGAAGTCGATCATCATGTGGCGCTCTGGACCGAACGGGATCCTGTACTCTGGCCTGCCACTCAGTAACACGGTGGTCGTCGAGCGGGCTTTCATGCGTAACACCTTTCAACTGGCATTCGTCGACCACCGCGGCGCAAAGCGGAAGTACATGTTCAGCCTTGACGATCCTCTCATGCGTCACCAGTGGGCAGTCTCGATCAGACGTCAAATCGACATCGTGGCGTCCACGGTGTCACCTGCGGAGGCGTCAGGGTCGTCATCGAAGACGTACAAAGCCAACGAGAGACTCGCCTTCAGGGTCCTCCAGGAGACATTGATCAGCAACTCTGACGAAGAGGACGCAGTTCCACTGTCTCCAGTTGACCAGGCGCTAGCGCGGCTAAACGGTGGACCTTCGCAGAGGCATGCCCCTAACGGCAGCATGTCAAGCGGACGTGGTGCCCTGAACGGCCAACATAGTAATGGATGGCCTGGGGCAGAGCGCAGAAGCAACGGCGCAAGCCTTCACGTCCGCTCGAAATCCCGAAGCAAGGTATACCATCGTCATGGCCCTGGCAAGTTCGAGTTGGAGCTGAACGATAGCTCTGATGCTCGCACGGACGACGAGCAAGTCCAGCCTGACGGCTCAGCACATTCACAGCGACAGCGTCTATGGAGCGGGCGAGATCTCGATATCGTCTGTCGGCAGAACAGCCTGATCACTCCGATGTTGGCATACTTGCAAGCCGGCCGGAGAGATACTGACATGTCGGCTAGTGCTCTGTCATAGCATAACGACTTCTCTCGTAAGTCTAGTTGTCCATGTACCGGAATTCCATCTGACCTGTCGTCTCGCAGACATTATTTAATCCGCTATGTCTCACTGTCTCCATTGCTATCGCGTTGTATACCCTTAGTGTCGCATCCACATGTACTGATGGACTACGCTGAGGATAGAGTAACCCTACTTTCCTTAATCATATGTCGCAGATGGAATCGTCTCCTTGTCTTATGTTTATTCGCTCTTTTGTGTCACTACGTAGTCTCATACAAGCTGCTCGATCTATGCATTATCAATCGAAATATCTGTCAAGTGTGACCTTTGCACGCTGCATGCCTTCAGCCTCACTTGATGGTGTAATAATGCGAGGTCGTGTGCTTGACTGGACACCTCTTCTTTACTCACAGGTTCCTTCGCCTCGTCAGCACCCACAGACTAAAACGACAGATTCGCTGCTCGAGCCGACAAATGCCTCACAATTGATCTTGAAGCGATGCAATTAATCCAACAGAGGGAAGATCTTGCTCGTCGTCGTTGCAGTGAAACCAAGCGTGCCAGCGAAAGGACACAAGGCGAAAGTAGTTCACGCATTGTCTATGTCGTAGTAGACAGATAACTCCCATTTCGGCGAAGGCACGAGGCTGAACCATCCTTAGAAATTGTCGTGCCATGATTCGGCGAAGTGCTTGCCCTCCACTAGTGGACTGCATCCCATGCACCAGCGCCGGGCTTGTCATTATTAATACCCGCTGAACGATCGTGCGCATTATATCGATACCACTGGCTCGGCCGCCGTGCGTTTGGATGGCCTAGAGTCGGATGGACCGAAGTCGGTGATACGCGGACATAGGCCCACAGCCAGCGTACGATGACACACTGCTACCTTGCTGCTACCTCTTGCTACCTACGTGTTCAATCCTATTCTATCATCTCATCAGAATTCAAAATGTCAGATACACGAGATGCGTGCACTCACTTTCTGCGCGCCATGGATATCGGATCGATGAGACGTAAACGTTGCCCATTTGCAGCCGTTGACTCCTGTATAATCACTGTGCTGTGGGTATTGATATCCATAAGGACTAGAGCTACTCACTTGCCTCCAACGAACTTGTACATGCTCTATGTTTTCGCTGGACCGTTGGCAGCCTGAGCCACGGCCGCGCATATGGCCTGGGACGCTCTTGCAAGTTGCAACATATTAGTGCACAGGTCAGTATGAGACTGAAATGCGCGCGGGTCAACAAGATTAAATGCGTTTTGGCCCTGAATGCCACTCTGCTTCACGCCGTAGTAGGCTCATTGCGCATATCTTCGAGGTCGCTGGAGGTCGCTGCCACCTACATAATCAAAAGTTTCGATTCGTCGTCGGCTTTCGACGTACCTGCACTGTATCGCCTCTGTTATTGTTCGGCTCGCAAGACACACGCACTCAACACGCACCGCATTCATATATAGTCGCGGTATACATATACAGTGACGCAGCGACGACCGCTTTGCATGCTGAGGTCGTGGTGTTGGACGCTGTCAGAGTGGATAGCCGCGATGTAGACGTCGACGGCGTTGAGAGTCCAGAGGTATACTATTTAGTATACAGTAGAGGCTGGTACTAGAGACTCCTTACTGAACAACTTCTAACTGCCATCAATACCACCATTTCCACTTCAGATACAAACCATGACTCGTCTCTGACGCTTGCTCGGCCTCTTTACATACCATATACGCGACGCTAGCTTATTTAGTCTGCAACGGAACTAGCGCGACGCTAGCAACCTGCTAGCGACCAGCGATCGTACTTCAAGCTTCAAGAGGCTTCAAGACTGG